TATGCATAATTTTTTATTAAAATTTTATCGTTTAATGAAAACGTATTCAAATGTTTCTAGCGGTATTAACGGTAATAAAGGATTTAATACTTCAATTAAAATACAATTTGTCCAGACGGGCTAAATTTAATATTGGATTGGCTAATTCCCTCCAAGGGTATAGCGAACTATAGACTACGACGAGTGTATATGAAAATATTATATAATTCAATTATTTATAACTTTAAAATTAAGTCTGACCTCCAAATTTTGACTTCACTATCGTTTTCGCATGCTTAATTACATTTACATATAGCTAGGTATGTTAAAACAATAGATAGTCATTAGTCTCATAGTACTGATTACGATTTGTAAATAAATAATAATTTGATTAAGTCAGAAATTAGTTTATTTTTTTGTTTAGTATCCTATATTTTAATGTGTTGTAGAAATAAGATGACTCACTGATTGTGCAAATTGTGATTTTACCATCGTTCATAACTCGTTAAAACTTAAATTCGTTAAAGTGCTAGTACTAGTGTGTCGTAATAAAGTATAGTGTTGTGGGAATGTGTACAAACGTAAAATGGTAAACTTTGGAATGATATAACTTCCACAAATCCACAATAATCATTTCCACACGTTTTTTTATTGCACCATCGTTCTTAACTCGATAAAATACGTGTTTCAAAAAAAAAAAATTTTAAAAAAAAGCTGGGTAGCAAAATTGAATTTGTTCCAAATATTTAATTTATTTTGTTTGTATAATAATATATAATAATATCATGTAATTACATAGTTTTTTTTTTGTACAGGTTATAAAATAAACTAATTTTCATTTATCTTTGTTTTATAATGGCTCTGGGGTGGAGGGGTCTATCACTCTACCACACTCAGTTACATCATTTACATCCCTGACTATAAGCAATAGACTAACGATAAAATAAAATCGTTATTCTTGGTTTTAATATGTTAATTCGTCCAAATCTAAACCTTAAATACCTAACTAAAAAAAAAATGTGCACCTAATAGGTACCTATATATTTTTTACATTTTTTGGTTATAGAATAAATTACTTACTTGGAAGCTTGTTTTAAATGTTCATTCCTTATAGCTATACAAATTGAACATTATTGATACAAATTGTATATTCTACTAAATAATTTGTAATTTTTCAATTTATTACATTTTGTTAAAATTTGAACTTTAAATGCTTATAAAATAAAATACTGCCTATGTATTTTTAATATTTTTAAACTGATATTGTAACAATGTGTGAGGAGTCTTATATTTTCAAACTTTACAACGCAACAAATAAAATTGACATGTAAAGTAAAAAAAAATTGAAAATGTCTATAAATAGCTGAAAACGAGTCAAAATATGGGTATTTTATTGAGCATAGAAAATGATAAAATAAACATTTGGTAAAAATTTGAAGTATCTACGTTTATTTATTTTTTAACAGAATAAGAAAATGGCTCCATAAAAAATCGAGTGAATATCCAATGTCCTAAGCGGTGACGCGGAAGGTTTTCTGGGGCTCCTTGCAAATAAAGATTTGGGAGTCCTAATTAAGGCTTTTAACTTTAAAGATGGGGCTTTAAAGGTGTATGAGGTTCCAGTGGCGTCATTTGTTTTCAATAAAGGGGAGCGGGCGGGGGCAAAGGTTTTTGACCGGCCAGAATGGGTAAAAAGAAAGTAAAAACGTTAAAAATTATTTTTTATTTTTATTACTTGCTTACTGCCTACATGTTTTGTCGGTTTATTAAACATAATATCAGAAATTGTTTTCGATTCTTGAACGATTTGCAGTAGTTTTATTTTTTAGCCGCACCACCCATTTTTTTTAAGACATATTTTGTCAATATTAAAATATTAATGTAAGCACGCATCAGTGCGTACAATATTATGTTCCTTTTCCTTCTCAAAATACACACACACTTGCATACATACAGCACGTCCCCGCATGCGTCTAATGTCTAAATATAAATATATTATTCCAGCTATCAATTGTTAATTAAAAATGTATTAATGCATTGTGAGTTGTGACAATAATTTCTTAGTACACAGTATAATATTTTCTGAAAATACCATAAAATTAGGCATGTTTTTGTGCTAATAAAATATAATAATGTTTAAACGGCAACAATTGGCCACCAGTCTGCGCACGTATATGTACGTCAGTGAGTCGGCCCATCGGTCTGCTTTTAAAATCAGATAAGGGGTAAACCGCCTAATAATACATAATAATAGTTATTAATTATTATATTGATTATTTATATAAATTCACAAGAATACCTATTAATAATATAACACCAATACCATTGGGCATTGATTATTAACACTTCTATTTTTACTAGTATTAGTAGTATTTATAACCAAAGGTAATACGTTATGCAAGTATATAAAATATTTCATTTAGGATTATTGTATTTTGTAATATATTATTATTATTGAAAATAGGTACCTACTGTATTTAGTATAAGTCCAAGTATAAAATATTAGATTTTAAATTATTTACGAAAGTCGTCCTGTCGTAATAGTATCGTATGACGTATAGGTACCTCGAAAGCTTGAATGTTTACACTGTTTAAAGGTTCAAAGTGAAATAATCATTTAGCTTATAGCTTGTAGGAACAAGGACTAAAATAAAATCAAAAACAATCAATTTTTAGATATTTACCGGGACGACCAAATGAAACATGTCGCATTGTCGCTTGCCGCGCTTTCTTGCATTGTATTATTCTATAATATTTCTATGGACACCTACGGGTTACAGTTAACAATCACATGGGTTTTTCATTTTCAATTATTATTTTTCAAATTAAATGATGTATGTTTTAAATAAATAACAAAATTAAACATAATAAAAAATCAATAAATAAAATTATATAATTTTTACAAAAATCGTTGTTTCCCAGTATCTAATTAAATGTATCATCTAGTAGGCGACAAAAAATTTCCCTGGGTGACATTTCTGTCGCCCAGTATATTTGTTAAAATATCCACTGATCTACAATCTTACTATAATCGTAATTTCCACAAAGCCCTCACCCCAGATTGGCTTATGGAAAAAATATCTGGTCGAAAAATTATCCGGATAATCTGATATAGGCAGTAGCGTATCCAGAATTTTTTTTCGGGAGGGGTTATAATTTATTTTTGTGGAATTTTATCATAAAATGATTTATTAATGATAACGTTGTTATAACTTAACAATTTTCGGTGGGGGGGGGGGGTTACAACCCCCCCCCTGGATATAGGTACCTGCTGAAAAATACCTGGAAATCGGAAAACAGGCCGAAGAAATAACTGTTCTGCTATAATAAGTAATAACATTGTTATTATTTAATATTACTACCTATTTTATTATACTAAATAAAAAAAAAATACTAATACAATTATACAAATAGATAGGAATATTAAATGGAATGTTATTTAAACGTTTTGAAATATTATTTTCCGTTGTCAAGTTGATATAATTCTTTCAGTCTTTTTTTCGTTAGTAGTTGATTTTCTTTTAAGTGGTGGCCATGGTGGCATAACGATTAGGTAATTACAGCTGTATATAGTATATTACTATATAGTACCTACTAATGTCACAAATTGTAAACTGCCTCTAGGTATAGTGATAGTTTTACTCTATATTGGCTAACGCTAAATTTCAGACAGGTTACAATAAATAACATTTCGAGAAAAAACACCACTACTCATTACTATAAGCATCCGAACAATTTTTCCCATTTGTCAGATATTTTTTCCGCGGTTATAATATTGTTTTCCAGCGAGAAAAACTACTTTCACCGAGTTTTTATATCATCAATGTTCATTCCATTTCCCGTGTGATAAACTCTCTTGGCATATTATTATTTATTATATATTCTTTCATTATCTGGGCATCTGACCGAGCCACTCATGGAGCCACTAGTATTGTAGGCATTGAATGTATGCCATGATATTCTGTGATGCATGCAATAAAAAATATTACGTATTGACGTTGTTTTGTACGAGAAACGTTTTTGTTTCATATATTTTCGTTGGATACTTGGATACCATGATGCTTCATTAGTTATTAATTATATTTTACATAATAATATAGTAGAAATTATATGTCTATGCAATTTTACATCAATGGGTACGTCTCCATACTTTGATCATGATAAATTAAATTAAATTTTTTAAGACTCTGATAGGTATTATAATTTATAGTTATGACCAGCAAAAGAGGTTGGCAATGCTGAACCTACGCGTAATCTCTTTCCTATGCGTCCTGCACTCCTGTGAGCTCAAGTTGAGAACCCCTAGATAACAGTGTATGGAATAATGATATTATTGTAATAAATATACCGACCCACACATACGCGCGTATATGTATAAATCACCCTGTATATTATATATATATATACACTCGAGTGTATTTAAGTGATATTAATAAAAATGTCGGTTTGATTATTTCGCGAAAAACCAATATCGGATATCCATCGGCTTAATAGTATTTTTAAAGTGTAGTTGGTGGTTAATGGTTATTAATTACTTATTGGTTACACTGAAGTTCGAATACAATATTATGTCAACCCGCGGTGCTTTACCAAACGGCTGTAAGACAATAACAACAACTTTAAATCTTTAAATTTCTAAGTCTTTCATTATTACCGTCGCTATATGAGTGTGAAACCGTCGGCAGCGGTTATTGGCTACGAACAGAACGATTAACGTTTGCCGGTGTTGCCGACTTCACCCCATCTGGTCGGACGCGCGATCGCAGTGTATAGGTTTATTAGGTTTTAAGATTAAAACGATTGTATAAGTCGGTCAGAGTTCTGGTGAGCCCGTTGTCTTCTCAATAACGACTACGACGACGACAGAGCAGCAGCGATTCGGAACGGTTCGCTCGCGACGCTTATCATATCGGCCTGGAGCGCAGTCATTGCCGAGTCACATCGGACGTACCGGTTAGCATATCTGTTCCTGGCCCTCACGTCTTTGTGCTTCTTCACCGTATGTGGAGGGTGCCCACGACATGTCAAAGAAGAAGGATCACGAGAGGAAGAGCCAGTGGGCATGGGCCGAAAACATTCACCCCAACAACATCGAATTCGATCACATACTTAAAGCGTATCGCATAGGGCTGCCCAACTGCAAACCTCTGTCTTGTCGGTGAGTTAAACCCTTTTGGTCGTACATTGGACCCCTTTGTTCGATAGTTCCCATGTCAATGTTTGTTATAACAATCGGTTTCAACTAGGTATATATAAGTAGGATCAAAAATACGTAGCTATTCTTGATCCTACTTGAAATCTTTGTATTTGTATCAACTAAAACATTACGGACGAATAATATTATAATTTTAAACTGTGTGACTAGCCTTGTTTTGTTTTAATTATGCATGTTTATAGCAGTAACTTGACGGCAGTCTTTTGTTGTTATATTGCTCTAAACAATAAAGTTGAGCATTTCTATACTGATAACAAATTTGAGCTAAGGATTAAAATTTTTGTAGTATTTAGGGAAAATCATATAACATTTAATAATCATGTTAATTATGTAATATTACCAATTTAATCATACGGGTACATAACCCATTATAGTACTTGTAAGTGCTTAGCACCTACTTTCACACCTTGAATAGACAAATATATTATATTGTATTTAAATAATTTTAATTTTAATGTAGCTATCTCTTAACTTAAAAAAAAATGGGGTGCACTGTTGCCTTGACTGTTGCTGTTGATTTAGTTTTAAAGCAATCATTGCATTTAGTGTAATATCTGTGTAAATCAGTTCAAGAATCTAGAGATGGATTTTGATTAAAGCGGAGATGAAGGTACCAAGTTTTAGTGAATGTTTTTAGAATATTTTTGAAAGATTTTTGTAAAATCAATAATACAGTTACCTAAATAAAACAGGCTTGCTCTACTTAACATTGAAAAAGTGTTGGTATAACCTGATAAACATTTTTAATAAAGTTAATTAATTTGTTTTAATTATACATTTTTGGTTTACAGACGTAATTGCAAAAATAATCCTTACTGTTTATCTGGACTTGGAGAACAACGTTGGCTTCAAGATAAAGTGCGCACACCTGTTAATGACTATGAAGATCCAGAGCTTGAACGGCGGCAAAACAATACATTTGTCGGCTTAAAAAACTTGGGTGCAACATGTTACATCAATAGTCTCTTACAGTTATGGTTTCATAACATTAACTTCAGGTAAACATCCATTTTGTCATTTAAGTTAGTATTTTATGTTTGATTTTTATTAAATAATATGTTTTATTAAAAAAAAATAAGCTGATTATAATTATAATGGTAATTATGTTGTTATTTTAATACACAGAAAAGCAATATTTAACTGGAAACCAGAAGAAGATTCAACGGAAAGTCAAAACAAGTCTCTTTATGCTGAAAATGCATATGTACCAGAGACTAGTGTTGGTCATCTACAATTAGTATTTGCTTTAATGCAATTTGGTAAACAACGGTCAGTAGATCCTGAAGACTTTATTACAACTTTAAGAATTAATACTGCTCTTCAACAGGATGCTCACGTATGTTTTTTAGTCAATTTATATTGTGTGATAATAATTGATATTAATTAAATAAAATTGTATTGCATTTCAGGAGTTTTCAAATTTGTTCCTATCTGTCTTGGAAAACAAGTTTAGTACACAATCTGATGCTTCTGTCAGAGATATGGTTAGAGATAACTTTCTTGGCGAATACAAATATGTAACTACGTACGTACTATTATTAAATAATGTCTACCATAATTAGTAAATACTTAATATATATATTTATAATTTTAAATTTATTCATTTTTTGAAATAGCTGTTTAAAATGTAAAACTAAATCCACACGTCCATCAACGTTTTATGAACTTGATTTAAACATTAAAGGTCATAAAACATTGAACGAAAGTTTGCAAGAGTTTTTAAAAGAAGAGCACCTAACTGGAGATGATCAGTACTATTGTAACCATTGTAACTGCAAGCAAGATGCTGTACGCAAAATATGTTTAACTACTTTACCCCCTGTGCTTAATATTCAATTAATGCGTTTTGTTTATGATAGGTATGTTTTCTAATCAATATTATTGTATCAAACATTAATGTTATATACAATTTATTATTTTTTTAGACAAACAATGCAGAAAAAAAAACTTAATACATACATACAATTTTCACAAACATTAGATATGGCTCAGTATTTAAATTTACCCGTTCAACTTGATGAATCATCTAAAGAAAATCACATATACAATTTATGTGCAGTCCTCATACATAAAGGTTCAAGTGCATACTCTGGTCATTATGTTGGTTAGTGTTTAATATCAACATATTATATAATAGTACAATTTTAGTAAAAAATTCTTTTTTTTTTTTTGCAGCCCATATCAAAGACATAGCCGCTGAAGAATGGTATAAAATGAATGATGAAAATGTTGAAAAACTAAAGGGCAAGGGTTTAAATTTGTGCACTGAAGACGAGTTTAAATTAAATGGTTCAAAAGTTACTAAAGCTCCTAAGATTCAAAAAGGTATGTTACAAACAAACAATGCTTACATGTTGGTTTATATGCATCATACCATGATAACAAAACTAAAAACTGAATCATCTAACTGGGAGTTATCACCAAGACTGATTCACCTTGTGGAGGCTCGTAATAATAACTTTGAAAATACAATATTAAATATTAAGAGTAATCGAGAGTATGTAGAAGACAAAGATAAAGTTTTTGTTGAGCAAATGTTGAATTTAATAACTGAGATGAACTCTGTATCTGTAAAAGAAAAAAAAAAGGAAGCCATTTCATTACAGTGGCTTAACTATTGGTTTAAAATCACACCAAATCAGAATGTCAAGGAAATAAGCAACTGTGCAATTTTATGTAAACATAATTTGCTTGACCCGGATAAGGTGCATGAAGCCAAGTACATTGGAACGGAATTAGTACGTATGAATAAACATAATATATAATAATATGTATTACTTGATGTTATTTAATTTTTACTTACAGGCAGATAAATTGTATGGTATATATAAAGGGGGTCCAAGGCTGCAATTAAATTCATCAATATGTTGGAAATGTGTAAGAAATAAATGTGCCTTATTATATACCAAAACATTAACTACTGAACAAAATAAAACCATCAACACAGTCTTACATAGTTGGAATCCCACTCCTAGCGTAGAGTGAGTATTTTTTAGATTCTGAGTGGAACGGTGAATGTATTGATTTTACAATGAAGTGTGTTTTTTTTAAAATTTTAAAATTTTTGTGTGTCATCATGATTGGGACAGTAAGAGTGCATTGATTTTCTACAACAGTATCTTGTTCGATGGGAAAGTGAATCTAGTTGGTGCATTTGGGAGGTCAAAATTTAAATTCCCAATAGTTTTTCAAAAGCCCCGGGAAAAACATTATAAAAATTAAGGGAAAACGGGAATTTTTACACAAAAACGGTTTTTGGATACGCATTTTCTATTTCATGATTTTCAAAATATTTTTATTTGTTTTGAACTGTTTAGGGACATTTTTAGAGACAATTGTATAAGTTTTTTTTTTTTTTTTTGAATGTCAATAAAAACTTTTTTTTGTTGGATATAAAAGCTAGAAAATGTAAAATAAGACTCCTACTATATTGGTACAATGACATTTGAAAAATATTAAAAATCCTTAGTCAAAGCTTTTTTTTATATGCAACTAAAGTTCAAATCTTGACAAAATACAGAAAAATCAATATTTTTTTTTTTAAATCGAAGATTTGAAAATGTAATGAAAGATTATTCATAAATTTGTCTACCTTTATGAACAAAAAAAAGTTTTTTTTTCTTTAATATCAATTCAATTTTAATACTTGGGTAATAAAGCGTGAAATTTTAATGCAAGGCTCCTGATATATTATTATAATAGCAGATGAAGAATATTAAAAATACATAGGCACAATTTTTTTTATAAGCATTTAAAGTTTGAATTTTGACAAAATTTATCAAAATTAAAATTTAATAATTTTTTTGTAGTTAAAAATATATAAAATATTCGACTTTTATAGCTAAGGATTGAAAATTTAAAACAAGGTTCGACATAAATAAGTTATATATAAATTACTTTCACAATAATATCATCAAATATACTTAGTAATATCATTGGCTAACTGATTGTCTTCGCTCAGAATCATTTTTCTTATACAATGATATTATATCATTAAATTAAAATTTAACACCATCCATTACAGTGATTCCACTTGTAACCTTCTGTACAGAAGAGCAACACCCACTTGCCCACCTACCTGTACAGCAGAGCGACAACCACTTGCCTACTTTTTAAATTTAAGTATGACAGAGTGTCATACAGATTCTATTAAAACAGAAAATATTTTATTCTGTAAATAAAATTTGAATCATTAATTATATTCACATAAACATTGACAATTAAATAAATGGCTAAAAAATATATTTATATAAAAAAAACATTATTAGAAGTGTCAAAAACTTCTATTCGAGTACAAATAATTTTATGTATACAATTTTATGTATAGTAGGCTTTGAAAGTTTTAAGAGGACCAGTGGTGGTTTTGTTAAAACATCAAGGGGGGGCTATTTTCAATTTCTGGGCCTCTCCCACCATAAAGCAATTCAAGCATTTAGTGTAATTTCAATTAAAAAAAAGACATGCTAAAAAAATCCAAGGGGGGTGACCTCCACCTTTGGCCCCCCCTTAAAACTGCCACTGAAGAGGACGCATGTGTTTTCTCTGTCTTACAAGTGCGTAACAGTTTTACGCTCAGCAGAACACATGCAGCTTCGTTAGTTTAAAAATTAGAGTGAATTATCAAATTTAGAAGTCAGAAAATAGAAAAACAATACGCATGTGGTGTCTCCATCTTACAAGTGCATAACATAGCAAATTTTACGCTCAGCAGAACATGTGTAGCTTAAAAATTAGAGTGAATTGACCTATTATCAAATTTAGGAGTAAGAATATTATCTGGTGAACCTCCTTGGTTTTTTTTATATTTTAATTTTAAAACAAGTTATGAGTATTTTTAAATGCACAAATAATTTACAGTTGTAAAATACTCATAACTTGTTTTATAATTTAAATATAAAAAAAAACCAAAGAGGTTCACTAGATAATATTCTTACTCCTAAATTTGATAATAGGTCAATTCACTCTAATTTTTAAGCTACACATGTTCTGCTGAGCGTAAAATTTGCCATGTTATGAACTTGTAAGATGGAGACACCACATGCGTATTGTTTTTTTTTTTATGATTATTTAATTTAAAATACAAAATTAAATACAATAACTTAAACAACATATTCATAATTTAAGTTTTAAATATTTTTTATTTTATTTTAAACCCAGAAACAAAAAAACTCAGTTATACGCTCAGTTGTGTATTGTTTTGGTTAGTGGCGCAAATCCATTTTTTCACGTTTGGGGGGGGGGGGAGGAGGCACTGATTTTGGCCTCTAGTTATCTCAGTACAATATATTGTTGTAAATAAAATAATGAATACAAATTTGAACTGACTTAAGTGTTTAGAAAATTGTATCTATATTTATCTTGGTTGAATTTGTTATTATTTTTATTTTGTAGTGATGAAAACCATGAAAAATGTTACTGGGTTGGGAAAGATTCACTAAAAAGTTGGCGACGAATGTATTTGGAATTGTTTGAATATTTTGTTAATAATCATGATATACCTCCAAACACTGCTTTGCCTCTTAATCCAGATCTATTGTCAGTAGTATGTGATCCATCAAGCAGTTTTGATGATGAGGACAAGAAATTCTTTAAGTCTAAAGATAGAAGTCGTTTTATTAAAATGGAAGGGATAACATTGGAATCTATTGATGGATGTCGGAAACTTGCTCATATGTTTGTTAACAATTCAATATCGATTTTCAAAATTCTAAAGCTCAATGATTTTAAACCATTTCATTATTCCTTATTGGAATTAGAGTCAGTCCTAGAAGAAATGACAAACATATTGTCTTCAGTTATTGCTAAAAAAGTTAATGATGAATTAGCTAGTGAAGAGAAAAAATATGATAAAAGTAAAATAGATAAATCAAAGAATATGATAACTGAATGCTTAATTCCAAATGAGACTGAATCAAAAACAGACGACGAGCATAAAGAAGATGATGTTGAGGACAATAGTCATGAAGAAAAAGACAAACATGATGATTCTGATTCTTTTGATAACAAAAATGATACTGAGTACATGTCATGGGGATTCAATGAAGACATTACATGTTCGCATGGTAGGTTTATAATTCAATTTTTTGTGCAATGTTTTTACTAATAAGTAATGACTATTTTATTTTTGATAACAGGGAACTTGACTATTGAAACTAACACCAGAAGATTAGTTCCAGAAGTAGTGAAAGGTATTCTTCATTCATACTTTCCCAAAGCACCAATATTTGCTAATGATATTGAACCTTGTAATATATGTCGAGTAAGTAGAAGGATTTTTAAACATAGAATCATATACACAGTAACTTACTATTGATTCAAATTATAGAATATGCATAGTCAAGATGAGATTACTAAAAATCTACATAAGCAGTCTGCTATTACAGAAAAAGAATTGCTGAGTGATTTGCTATGGAATAAAAAAAGACCCGTTCCTTCACAGGAAAATTCTCCATACCCTTGTGTTTCTAAGAATTTTTTAGAATCTTGGAGAAAATTTGTGAGGTAATAAAAATTATATCATTATCTAGTTATAATTTATTAGCTTGTAACAATTGTGTATAATACATATGAAGATTGGAAACTTCTAACATAATTGATATATTTATTGGTTTAAGTTAAAATTTATTTCCGTAATACTGTGTTCAAAATCATTTATTTTTCTAGCATTTTAGCTATAATGCTGTATATATAAATCGGTTGTATGCATTTATTATTTTTAAAACTTAAATATCTTTAATTTTATTTGTAATTTGTATATTGGACTTTGACATGGATACATTTTGAATTAAAATTCTGCTATGTAATGAATGAATTCATTTTTGATGTATTTGGTTTTTTAGTTATGAATGTGATTATGGTTTTGGTAGATATAGTGCTTCCAAAGTATTATTAACATTTGATGGATTAGAAATTGTAACTGACTCTATTTAAAAAACTTATTTTTCAATTTATTAGTGTGACACTAATAGAGATTTTTCAATTTGTATTTTTCTAAATGTTAAAATTAAGTTTGCTAGACTTAGTGTACAAATATACTGATTCCTAATTATTGTTGATTTTGTATCAATTGAAAATAATCCCTTTCTTATAATTTATTTATCACTATATACAAATAAATGTAACAATAAATTAACGAACACAAGGCAATTCTATTAAAGTAAATGTACGATATTAAGAACAATTAAAATTTTTAAAATATGAAAAAAACATTATTTTTACATTTTAAATTGCCTTTAGCTTGTCAGAATAACATTGATAAAAACATTGTCAACTTTTGATTTTTAATGGTAAAATGTATTTTTGAATTTATATTTTAAATACTTTTAGTTTTTAAGTTTTGGATTAGTGTATCTAAACTGCAACACACTAAACCTAATGTTAAATATTGATTCTTGTATTGCTTAGTAAATTTTCTGACCATGTAAAACGTATAAACAAATAGGTACCTATAAACTAATTTAACCTAACTTTATCAATATAGATTAATAAGTTCTTATAATATAAAACGTTTATTTCTAGTATAAAATTAATCTTTTTTATCAACTATAATTTAGATGAGTAACAATTTATGAATAAATCTAATTATGTATCGTACAAAATAGTAGTACATAAACATTTTGAATTTTCAGCAATATTTAATATATTTCTAGAGTTAATTCAGATTTCATAACGTAATCAAAACAGGAATTTTAATTTTACTTTTATACGCTAGTAACATTAATTAAAAAATATTGATTTTGAGTTAAGACGCGTTAGTTTTTAAATGTAAAAACGAACCTTGAAATCTGAGAGAGTTGGTACCTGATAGTTGATAATCAACTAATAATAACGTCTAACTAAATTGATGCTTCCCGTTGGTAATAAAACTTTACTATTCTAGACTAACTACACTATTCGTTTTTTTTTATTGCGGACAAAAACCATTAATTAGACTAGTCGTCACGTAATGACAGGCCTATTCGAGTGATCGATCCCGCGTGAAGTGGTAATAATGAACGCACGCTGAAGTTACACATGATTCTTCATTATCTACTGCACAGCCCCCAGTGTAATTCTTTGCACATCTCGTCGAACATCGCGTGAATGACAGCCTGTAGTGTCAGTGACGAATAGCTACACCACCGTACTAATTGTGTGAAATATATTGATCTTAATCAATTTTCTTCGCCGATAATGTATACATACAGTCTTTTATGGAAAATATGAAATTCCATTTGTAGGGTTTTTCTTTTTTAAAAATAAATTTACTTATATCCACTCTTTAAAGAAAGGGAGAGGACCTAGTAAAACGCATCATAGCTAAAAGAGAGCCGGTAAATCGGGAAGCGGACGATGGGGAGGATAGCCAATAAATCAGAATTCAATTTTGAAGGGTAAAAATAAGGATGATTTGTGGCCCGAGCAGAGTCAACAACCAATACAAAACCACAGACTGTTGCAATATAATACTATATAATATATATTGTATATACGTACCAGAGCCCATGTCTGTATATACGTAAAAGTAATATAAAGCGCATTAAATCTCCATGTGTCAAAATATCGTTCCCGAAATCGGTGATATCTGCCCATTCGGCAAATTGTAAACGTGGACGACATAAGAAAAAATAAAAAACCTAAAATAAACAAAAGATATTTTTTAACCAAATGCTACGTTGAGTTTCGATTAAATAGCCTTATTATAATATTATATGATACTATAATATGCTCCTAAGAATCGCACATACTTTTTTTCCAGTACTTATTCGCACACTGATATTTGTTAAAAAAAAAGTTATTTCAAATCTAGGTACCTTCCAGTTGTATACTGCATAGTATTTTGTTTGTTTAATATCGTCGTCTATACGTATATAGCCACTTGGACCTGATCCGACGTTAAATTTATATTATATGCTATTTATACATATATTATATATACTGATTATTACTCCATAATTTTCCGGTTACCAGTAACTGGTGCGCTCACAAAACATCGCATTTGAATGCATTGGATAGAATGAAATATAAAAATAAAAATATTATGTTCTTATTTCTAATTAGTTTTACTAAAAGGATTATCTGCCTTTTTTCGCTTGTAATTCCGTTGACCAGGACGCATAAAAATTTGATATTCGCATGGCACTTGTTTCGACCTGACATGCCCTCTTCCCCATGTCCCCGTTCTTCTAACCCGTTAAATCCTTTAAATTCAAAGGATTTATTTTTACGAGGGTCTATTGCCACCCCTAGAACCTGTGACGTCTGCCCCTGGATTCTACCTGTCAAAATGACATTCGCTATATTCTTCTAGCATAACAAGTCTAATATTACAAATGCACGTCGTTTCAAAATAATAATAACATGACTTTATAGTAATATTATCACATATATTATGTATTGTAATAACATTCTTTCTCTGTTATACTTACTATATCTACACAACTCCCATCGTTGTTTTGTATATACTTGTATGTATGTTGACCAAGAGTGCATAGTCTATATTACCAAAAAAAAAATATTGAGTACTTTACTAGTCAATATAACTCAATATGTTAATATGTTTACATAATATTATATTGTAGGCTTAAATGCTTTTTTTTAGGTATCCTTATAGTATTTAAAATTAAATAGCTTATTATTTCTTCAAATCTGTATAATATAGTGTGCAGTGATTTACTTTGATTCACATTATTTATTATAATATATAGCGTAATTGTGTTATACGATTCTTTATTATGTAAAATTCTAGTTCATACTTTATAAAAGAAACTCGTGACAAGTTGGAAGGCTTCTAGTGTGTCACAAAACTATTTATTTGTTTATTTTATTTTTTTTTTAAGTTTTACTGGTTTATAAACTCTCAAACAATCAAGCCACGGTACAGTGGGTCGGTGCGGAAAATCTGATTTAACAAGCATGAATAGCTTTTAACCTTTCGAACTTCTAACCAGCTTTTCTTTACACTTGGTTCGCGTTGAATAAGTAAAATTCTTTCGGAGCGGTCTCTGCTGCTCTCTTCTGAGAGTATACCACCGCCTCCGATACACATTGTATTGTGATCGGAGAACTATTACAGCGGACTTTCTGGCGGCGTAATATAATAGTTATCGAGACGACGGTGTCGCGTCGCCTTTAGCGCCCCCTTACCCCTCGGCCTCATCCACATGTGTACGCATATATATATTGCTTTCATCACCTCAAGCCGGTATAATTAATCAAAAATGTTGTTGGAGGACAATGTGATGCCGGAAAGGAGAGGGGACGCCTTTGGTGTATTGTTATACAGGCATCGTTATGTGTAATTAATAATTCACACTTAATTAGTCAGAAGATATTCGGGTTGTGGTCAGAGGACCATTGAGAGGAGGGACACATCGAACAATACTTGACGAAATTACGAGCTGCCTTCTCTCTGATGCTTGACGACTTTTCATTTTAAGAGCGGCAACGAGAAAAGGGCCTTTCCCAAATTATTAGACGGTGTATAATAATTATTCAAAATCCGGCGTGGTGCGTGGCTAAGTTTTTGTGTGTTCGTTCGGACGTTAAGGATCGTTTATAAATTACTTTATCACCGAGCACACACAAAGGGAGGCTGTCCACTGGCCTGCAAGTGAGCGTGTGTGTGTGTGTGTGCGTGTGCGTGTTATGGCGGTGGTATGATTAAACCGTTTCCGAACGTTGAGCGTGAAAGTAGGCGGCTATATCTTTTATCGGGCCGTGATTACAATATAACAACAACGGACGATGAGAGAACGAAAAAAAAGGCTTCGCGTCGTTATTTGTCGTGGGTGTATATTATATATATAATATAATTTGTCTGATGAAAAACACGTTATAATTCTGTAATATTTAACCACGAAATATCAGATTTCATTTTGACCTCCGTTTATATGGGAAAACATGCAGTTTATCGAATTATATTTTTGGATTTACTAGTCTGATTTTGTGTATATTTTGTGATCCTGTAATTATAATAAAACGAAATAAGCAAACCAGCGACGGAGGAAAATAAGTATATACATTTTATTTTATGTACATATTTGTATGCATATATTGTTCTGTATATTATTATAATACTCGAGTGTAAAAACAAATCTGTGCACATATACAAAGGTAGTAGGGAAACGGCGAGAGGGTTGCAAAGTACTGGCAATTGTCATGTGTCCGTGTCCTCGCAAACGACCGGAAATCTTTATTGGAAAACAGGAGCGGGTAAAGCTGCACGTGCATTTGTTTGATGGGTTTTCGCCGACACCGCGTCCGTTGGCAGTTTAAGCGACGGGGTTTATATACCGCTTCGGACTTGTGTCGACCACAGCGTACCGCTCTCATCTTCGGAGGGTGCGCGGCGGTGTACCCGTATAGTCTACACTACACTAAACCTATACGCTCTACGCTACACTACACTATACTTCACTATATATAATATAACTATAATATATTTTATATACATATAAGTGTGTGTGTGTGTGTGTGTGTTTGTGTGTGTGAGTACTATATTACGGCCGTGTATGCTATTACACCACTGCCCGCTTTCTGTATCCCCGCGGAGTGCGGTGCAGTATATAATGTTGACTGATGGCCGGCCGTCTCCGACATGTGTTGCTCTGCCACAGTCGTCAGCCTCCGCCTCTGTCGCTGTGTTCAGGAGCTCTGAAAGACGTCGTCGTCGTCGTTGTCGATGGGTCACATCGAAACTATGTGTATATATACAGGGCGCTCGCGAGATAGGGTGGAAAATGGTACCGAAGGGGACTCGTGGCGATCGTCCAGATGAATTGCCGGCTATCAAGACTCGCCGCTGGTGGTATAGCTTGTGTGCTTGCAAGCCTATACATGTATACGTGTGTGTGCTAATGACGTCACACGCCGTCGCCACTCTGACCCTACCAACAAAACGTATCATTTCTCAAAACCACCGAGGCCATTGCCTCCCTATATATCTACCTATACTCCCTTGTTCCTTGAGTATATCCACCACGAGTGTAGGTATCTCATCTGCTGCGTGTGAGAGAACATTTTTCCAATATTTTTTACTATTTTGAGTTTTATCCATATGTGACCTAACCTAACCAGCATTGCACATTTTCATTTATAGATTATGTACAAAGCATATTTTAATACCTTTAAAAATTCTCATAAAATGTACATTCATTTATTTAGTAATTAGTTTATTGAAATAATATCATATCGCAAAGGCAAAAGGACTGCGCATAGTACCTTGTACATAATTCAATATTTTAATATAATATATTATATTATACTGAGTTGATGCTTAATGATTATGTTATACGCATAGACTTATAGAAATAGACTCAACATAAGGTATGATAACGCGTGTAATGGTAAAGCTTGTTCGAGGAAGCTTGTTGGCTATTAAAGCCATGTATTGGCTGTCCTCGGAACAGTGCCATTTCTCTCACTTTTATGATTAAAAAAACTGATGCTATCTCTCTTAATCCGTTTAGCACGAACACGCCTCCCAGTCCTCAGGACAAACTTTCCGTCTATTTTTATAAGTCTATGGTTATACATAATATAGATATACACGATATTTTGGCTTTTTATAAGACTAGGTATCTTCTAGATAAAAATATTTTTTTAGATTTATTTTTGAGTTAGATAACAAATTTATGTTTGGATATACGGTATCGAACTATTATACTGTCTATAACACTATACAAGTATACAATCCCACTTAAATCTAAATATTATAGAGGTACATAGTATCCTTTTGTTGAACTGTTATACCTACATAGAACATAGGCATGTCTTGTTTATGTTTTCTTAATGTGTATTTTGAATACACTTTTAATTTGTTATTTAAACTTATTTTTGGGCTTGGTTGTATTATATTTTTAATAATACGCCTAAAATATCTGTTATAGAAATTCATCAAAAGAACCAAGACCGCATTCGATTGTGAATGAAGCACTTCTTTGCAAAGAACACACTGGACTGTTATTTGAACCGCCTTCGAATTTGTATTCGACTGAACAGAATCCGTAAGTAATGAATTAGTTAGTACTTAGTATAATTTTATATTTTGATATTATACATATTGATTGTATGTTATTTGTATTATTTAAAACGTCGATTTATTACAAGTTCTAAGTAGGTACTTGATAGTAATATTTAACTATATAAATAGGTAACATAATTACCCTTATTTTCCCTTAGTATGGATGTACCATGATATCCTTGGAACTTTCTGATGTTTTTCGAAAAATATAATGAGTCTTTAAGAATATAAAATTATATTATTACATATTCAACATGATAATATATTGAAATATAAATAACAAAAAAAAAATGTTTGCATAAAAGCTTTTACTTTTTTATAATACATGTTGAAATTGTACAAATCAATGATCATAACAGAAGTTTGAGTTCCTGAAAAATATAAACTTTCGTATGAGCGCCGTAAAATCTTATATTATTTTTAAAAGAGGTAAGTATATACAATCTGTGCCCTAGGGTACAATTAGAATATCTGACAATTGAATAATATGCCAGTGAAATGACTTGATAATAGAAGCCACCCAGTGGTGACACTTTCTTATCCTCAGTGCTATAAAACTATATCTTATTTCTTTATTTTTGTTTTAATTTTTAAATAATTTTAATTTTATTATATTGAATAAGCATTTTGTAATTTTAAAGTCTAGTTAGAATTGTTAATTCATAAGGATAAATTGAACAATGATTTTAACTTCTCAAGTGTCGATACGCTGCATGCTGTATACTGCTGATATACTGCAGTATATTTATAGTTTATAAAATGTTAAGTTCGGTCACAATTCGAATGAATGTAATGCAGGTTTACTATAGTCTATAATATTATGGTAATTTAAACGATTTAAGTTTATATGGTGTGCCCAAGTTATTTACTAAACATTTTCTATCAGAACGAGAATAAAGTTGAAAAGTTATTTAATCGAGTTTTCAAGAATGCACATATACATTTATCTCCAACATTTAGGGTGGTTTTTACTTTCTAGTAGCTAATTCTAGTTGGTACTTTGGTGGTCAAAAGTTGAAAATTGGTGGTAAAATAAATAAATTAAGCACAGCATACAGTAGGAAGGTTCCTCATAAGTTCTAAATACTGAAAATACATGTTCAAATTTTTTTTGATTTTTTTTCAGTGTTTGAAGTAATAAATTAGGATGTTTGATAATCAAACTAAAACATCGATTTTCCCTAAAATGATTTTAGTTATTTTGCTGGAATTAAATAAATATTATCCGTACAAAAATATGAACTTAAAGTATTGCATTTCACTACTTATGTCATCTTACACAATTTAGAAAATATTTTGATCAATTTTAAGCTATATTTAATTATTATTTATATAAAAATTTAAAATGTTCGACTTTTTTTTAATATTATGTATTAATCATATTTTTTCCCTCTTTCAAAAAAATTAAAATTGTTATAAACGCAAGGCTCCTCATTAGTTTTTCTAATAGTATTTACATTGGTAGGTAGGGCTCAATTATTATTTACCAATATGTTTGAAGTTCATATTCTGTCTAAAACGACATTTGATAATTATTTTTCAATTGAAACTATAAGTGATATATTTAGTAAAAAATAGTTGAATCTAGTTATATAAATATATATTATAAAATATCCTTACAAATAGATTGACACACTGTCTCCATTCAGAATAACTTTTCATACATTAATCAATTAAAATTCAACACATCTTTACAGTGACTTCTACTTAATGACGGTTGCCGAATGAGAGGTACACTTATGAAACCATGATTGAAATTTTGGGGGAGGGGGCAAAAAGTGTACAGATTTTGGACCTACTTTTTCTAAAAAAATTTTTTTTGGTATGTCAAAATTAAAATGAAAGCCCCCTAGTGTTTTGAATCTGATATTGAGCCAGTATTATGCATTTTTTTGTTTTTTGCAAATATTCATTTTTGTTTTTAACTGAAAATATAGCATATAGATACATATATACTGCCATAACCTATATGTAAAAGACTGGTAATGATTTTAAAATGGTCTTTAAACATTTTCACCAAACTACTGTACAGCAGAGCGAGTTTTTCAATTTCTTTTCGATATTTACTATACAAAAGTAACTGTGTTTTTCACTGAGATAATACCTTATATTTATATACCTACAAGACAGGAACATCGTTCTTTCGAGTGGAAAACTGCGAAACTTTTGGTGTATAGGTCCGGAAAGAGCGTGTGGTATAGTTTCGCCTTCCGTTTTAGAAACTCTTCCACCATCGTCGTCACGATGACTGAACGACATTCTAACCAACAGAGCGGTGTTGTGATGTCAACTACCTTCACCACCCCATCCCTCTCAAAAATCACCCCAGTCGTTCCACAGGTTTTTGTCGTCTCCGATGCGATCAACTGTAGTTTTTAATTAATTAATTCCGTTCCTCGTATTTACTCGACGGGTCAAGTTCTTCGGCGGGCAGGAACCCGCCGCGCCGCCACTATCGTAGTCGTTGTCGTAGTAGTAATATATTATTATTATTATTTTAAGAGCTTCGGGCTGGAAATTATATATTATAATATTTTCAGTCTGTTCAAAATGGTTTTTAATAGCTGGGCGGGTTGTCGTGCGTGTGCGTTTATATTCCTCGAAAGAAGGGGGTACGGGGCGCAAAATAATCTTATTGGCCTCTGCTGCTGCTGTTTCTAGAGGATGCGCCGTGGTCCGGAGGAGAGGAATTTAACGTGACGGTGATTATGCAAATGTACACCGAGTGCCTGCCGTGGCGACTATGCAAATCGGTCGTGCCCATAGGAGATATTGTGTTTTTGTCAGCTGCCGTCAGTATTTAACAAATTATCCAATTAATTAAGTATTATCGTCGCCACTGCGGCCGCACCCTTCCTGTTGCGGGGGTGGGGATAGTATATCCTCGACGCCGTGGTTGCCGTGTTTTGGTGGTTACACTGTCGTGGACGATGTGTGCCGTGATGATGTTGGCCACAATATATAATACATTATATTGCATTCGGATTACTGATAAACCTATTTTCGATATACACATCAGATTAATGTAGACATAAACTTATACAATATATATGTAGGTACTATTCACTATAATACATAACATAAAAAAAAACTTACCCGTTGACAAAATTCGTTAATTTAACCTTTAATGTATATTGTATGTGGAAAAGCGCTTAAAATCCATATTATTATCTTTTTTTTTGTATTAATTACCTGTCCAAATTGACACACCTTTACGTATCAATAATAGATAATGTGTAATAACTAATAGACATGTGTTACATAAAGAATTATAATAATGGTTCTCATCGAGTAAACAACTATTTCTTATATTTAAATCAATTCAACTAAACTTTAACGAATAAGTAGGCAATATTATACCCCTTAAATAGATCTAATTTTTTCTTCGTTTCGGCGTTAAAGGAAATCTCGGCACTAAAAATAAGTATGTTAAGATTTAAAGTAGGTATGTCATATCTAAGAAATATGGTGTAGGTCTTGCACTTTTTATTAGCATTAATTATTCAATGAGATACAGGCTTTAGAAAATATGCGTCTGACGTCATAGAGCCGAAGTTTGAGCGATGGCGTATGTTTTACGTGTAAACTTGTATAGATTAATACGACGATTTCAATCGTTAAAGATAAAATTTTTTTTCGTTTTTTTTATGGAACCTTAAATGTGGTGTTTTGTTTATAACACTGGTGTGATTATAATTTTGATATACATTCTAGTTTTTTCGTAGTAGATGACACTATTATAGAACATTTCATAAAACTTGGTTTATACGACAATGCGATGTGGTTCACGAACTCAATAATTTGACTTAATTATAATTTATAATATGTGTACAATAAAAACATCTATTCAATTTTAAATCACACCATCATCTTAAGCATATAAAAATACTTTGGATTATCAAAAAGAAATTCTGAATTACTATCATAAGTTATTAAAATCATTGTGTAAAAATAAATCAAACTACATTTACACGTAAGACATGGGCTGCTCATTGGTCGGCTGTATGACGTCACGCGGCTATTCATCAACTCTCATTGTCTATTGAATAATTATTTTCTTAACTTAAGATTTTTACCAAAACGTTTTTCATTATTTTGACAACAATAATACACCAATAATTTTTTTTTATTTTTTTTATTTTTGTGTCTGTCATCACGTTTTAGGACAGTAAAAGTGCTTGGATTTTCTTCAACAGTATCTTTTCAGATAGGAAAGTGAATTTAGTTGGTACTTTGGGGGGTCAAATATAAAAATTTCCCATTAGTTTTCAAAAGCGCCGTGAAAAACAAAAGAAAAATTAAGGAAAAACGGGAATTTTTACGCAAAATCTGTTTTCGAGAAAATCGATTTTGGTTTTTGGTGTAACTTTAAAACAAATGACCGCAGATACATGAAATTTTCACTGGTTGTTTATATTTGCATTTTCTATACACGATAACATTTTCAAAATATTTTGAACTGTTTAGGGACATTTTCAGTTTCCACTTTTATTAGTTTTTTTTTATGAATATCAATAAAAATTTATTTGTTGAGTAAAAATACTTGAAAATTTAATACAAGGCTCCTACTATATTGTTTCAAAGGCAGATGAAAAATATTAAAAATCCTTAGTCACAGTTTTTTTTTTACAAACATTTAAAGTTCAAAAATTGACCAAATATGGAAAAATCACGAAAATTAGCAAATTATTTTGAGTTAAGAATTCGTAAAAAATTTTCCTTTTAAATCTAAGATTTTAAAATGTAATACAAGATTCCTTATAAGATTTTATACCTTTATTAAAAAAAAAAATGTCTATATGAAAGTCAAATTAAATTTTTATGAGCGTTTGAAACTCAAATTTTTACATTGGATATTCACTCGATTTCTCATGTAGCGATTTCCTTATTTTGTTGTAATTCAAAAACGAATAACTGTAGACACATGAAAATTTCACTGAATGTTCATATTAGCCTTTCCTATACACTGTACAATTTTGAAAATATTTTGACTCTTTTTGAGCTGTTTACGTCAATTCGTTGTGATTGTATAATATTATTCGTGGGTACTTGAAATTTCTAAAGTAAACTATTATATATCTATGATAGTATCAGGGTTTGTTGTTGATGTATAATGCGTTATAAGTACCTAATGGATATTGTGATATGATTAATTTGGAATTTATCATAGGTACCTATTATAGGGCAATTTTTTTTAATACCATAGATAAGTATATAATATGTAGTCTTATACCTAGACTGACATACCGTTTCCGCTCAGAATCGTTTTTCTTATACAATGATATTATATCATTGAATTCAAATGTAATACTATCCATTATACAGTGACCCACTTGTAACCTACTGTACAGCAGAGCACCTTTTTTATATTTCTTTTTTGTAGTAATAATACTTTGTAGTAATATAGTTATTTAATAAGTTAATTAAATTAAAAAAGAACTTTTTTTCCCTTGTCATAAATAAATATAATTACTATGTACCTATTTAATTTATAGTATATCACTATTTTTACCTGATATAGGTAGATAAGTTGGTTTGATAATTTGAATTTAAAAGCGCGCTTTGAATTCATATGAAGTCATCATATAATCGTGACTATTACGTTCAATGTAATAATATACATGTACATAACATACATTTTACTATTTAAATCTAATAAAATATAATAACATATGTGTTTCAGAATAGCGCTATTAACTAAAGAAGAATGGACGATTCTTTCAAGATGTTATGCAGCTGATTATGGAGTATACTTGTATTTTGGCGAACTTGGAATGTTTACAACATCAAATCCAGGTAATTTATTGCATTTCTGATACAATTTAGATGATAATTTAGTAAAATTTAGCCATTTAATTATTGACCTTATATTTTTTTCATCTATAAATGTAGTTTAAGAGAACGCCACATCCGTATGTGTTGTCACCGCTTACGAACGTATGACAAAGAAAATTTGTGTTCAGCAGTTCCAATTGTATGTAATAAACTTTAATAATGGAAAGAATTTTGACGTATTATAACATAAACGTAGGAATATTATCTGTGATTTCCCGTGGTTTTATTTTACAATATTTAAATTTTCAAGTGAGTTATGATAATTTTTAAACTGTAATAATATTTTTCATTAAAATTAAAATATCGTAAAAACACGTGATAACACATAGGTATAATGTTTTTAGGTACCTTTCAATTTAGGCCAATTAACTTTATTATTAAAACACACACAATTGAAACTGCCAAACTCGGATTTTCTATATTGTACCATTGATTATAAAATTTATAATTAGTATTTAATACTAAACTAGTATTTATAATCAATGGTTGTACGTTGACAACCCATGTAAGTGTAGCATCCTGTTAATACATAATTTATACATTAAAATCAACCAATATTCATTTAGTAAAATAAAAATATCAAAAGACGATTGTATATTATATAGATCCTCGTGGTTAAATTATTGGAAATGAACTGAGTTATAATAATTAAATAATAAGTTGTATAAAACAAATTGTAATTAGCTTTATTTCAAAATAATGTCTTAAACATTTATATTGTATTATTATTTTTAAAATACCACTGATCGTTAAAATCTCTTTTTAATATCTTAAATTTATAATACTCGTGTTGGTTTGTTTATTTTAATGAAGTGACGTTGTAAAACCGTTTTGGTTTTTATTGTCTTTTCCCTCATTTCTCATAACATGTAATTATACACTAGAGGTTCGAGTAAGCTGATCGTCGGCCTACCCGTCATACCACCCTATAAGGTGGTCTTTCATATCACAAGTATTGTTTTTTGAGATAATTTTATTTCAAAATTCAAAATATACAACTATAGATAAAAAGTTAAAAATGAAAGTTTGTTTTGTATCAATATATACAGTTCGATTAAGACAGGTGAAACTGTATAGGTATAAATAAAATCTGCTGCATTACTGTTATAATCGTACTATTTTAAAATCAAGGAAATGTAAAATATTTAATCTATACATTTAAAGAAATATTTGTATTGAGTAATGAGTATGATATATAGTAGTAATATATAATTGTATTTGTAATAGTTTATATAATATTAAACATTCAATTATACTCGGATGGAAGTTATATTCGATCTAAAACTTAAGTAATTTATCTGTTTATCGAAATATACCAATAGTATTATGTGGATTTTCTAATTAAATTATTTGTTTTTTATTTCTTCTACACCTAGTATATGTACTATTTTTTATTCTCTTCAAAAATCTAGTCAAACCCATTCTAAAAAAAAAAGGAAATTAAGTGTTGGAGGTTTGCATAGCAAAACTTTAAATTTTACAGTTTTTTTTTCTTAAATATATCGCCATTAGCAAATTAGTCTAATTTATTAAGAATAGCAGCCAAAGCAAGATGCCCAACGCTCGAGGTAATGTATTTTCATTTGGAACGGTCCCAGAGGAACCCGAAACTTTGGTCCAAGCGCTTCCTTCTACTGTTTTTTTCTCACAACTCTCATTGGACTGGCTCTGTTTTTGCGCCTCGGAATTAATATCGCGCTTTTGTCCCGCCCGCCGAATCCCCGTAGCTTGACTCGAATTTCAATTCCAAATCGGAGGAGGTCATCTTTCTCTTTACACACACACACACACACACGTGCGCACACTATACACATGACTAACATAATACACGCAGTGGCAAGAAACTAATTCATTTAAGGGACACGTGGAGTGGTAATGTTTGTATGTATGGTATTGCGCGTGTGAGAAACGTGATGGGAATGCTTGTAAATCATTAAAAGGTCACCTTTGGCTGCACCGAGGGGGTTCCGTAGACGTTATAGCCGGACCCTGTTATCTGGGCCGAAGGCATTGATCATGTTTGTGGTGAATCCAATTAAAGATATGGAACAAGAAATCACAGTTTGCGTTCCAAACAGGGTTGTATATTAATCGGGTCCAAGAACCATTTCACCCTTTGCCCCTCAGTGTGTAGCCGTGTCACGGAGCCGTTAAATCATTCGTAATGTGGCGATTCTGAACTATACATGTGCATGGTATTTATGCCGTTGTTGTCGGTGAAGGGAATGAGAGCCCGTGGACAAAAAAAAACTTAATTTGATTTATTGGTATTTCTGGGTTCTACGAGAGCTATCAGCTATAGTGTTTAATTATAATAATTTTCATTGCTTAATGTTCATTCCGAATACATACAGTTATAATTATGTACGAATTATTATTATTAGTTATAATATTGTATGCATTTGAATAGCATCGTGTTCTAAGTCTGTGTAAACATGTGGCTAGTTTTTTTCAAATATTGATTTTTGTTAAATTTTTGGAACTTTTGAAACAACTGCTTATATATACAACCTCATACCTGTACATATTTTTATTATATACACATTTATTTATTTTACAGAGATAATCATAAAGCAGAGTTATATTTTTTCCTTTCTGTTAAAAATTGCGTAACTATAGCAATAGGTATTCTTCATGCTGATTTTATTATGTTGAGATTTGTAACTAAATAGAAGAAAAATTAAAGTTGTCGTTTAATTATACGGAGAGAAACGGCATACTTACGGAAAAGGGTTGATATCACTCCCCCTGTAAAGTAGTTAAATGAAGCGTGTTTTGTTAGTGGTCAGCGAATTGCAGATAACCGAATACGATTCGGTTCATTTGATATAGTCGTTTAAATAGAATCCACTAGAAAGGGGAACCCCCTCACTCCGTCCTTTGGAAAATGATGTAAAACAAACGTAACGCCGAGAAATCAATTTGGATTTCTTGACTTACCAGTTTTTTTCTTTTATTTTTTTTCCACCCTATATAAAAAGACCATCAGTTTAATAGTCTTTCAATATGTTTAACGACCAGTTGGGAAATCCAGGAAACCTCTTTTATCCCCCCCCCTCACCACTAAAAACGGTCGTTAAGTATTGGTTTTTTTTCAGACAAACCTTTTTTCTCCCCTGGACACAAGCAGGTTGAAACGAGGTCCCGACGTGGTTTAATAAATGACAAGGCATTTGTCGCGCTTTTATCCCACTCTGTGCAAAAGGGATAGCTCATCTTGGGACGGGACCCAACGATAATTTGAATCGCCCTAAAATGGGAGAAAAAAATACTAATGACGCGTTTTTAAAGATTAATATATGAAAATATATGTAGAATTTAATTTTAATTTTTTTTTGTTAAGTTGTGTAGAAACTATTATTAATAACCTTACTCGTTACCTTGTTAAATGAAAAATTTAACGTTTTGTTATAGAAATATGTGTACCGTGCCGCCAGAGAAGATTGGACGAGGAAAAAAAGGAACAGTTAAAGTATAATAAAGCAAAAATTTTTATTAAAGTGATTGAAAAAGAATCGCACGAAAATAGATTCAATGGAATCGACGACAAGGTAAAAATATGATTATAACTTTACTCTAGTATACTAATATAAGTTTAATAATTGTTAAATAAATTAAAAGTAGCCAGTATATGGACTTGACATAGATAGGTAACTACTATTTTTTTCTTCTTTAAGAACCTGAACCGATAGTTGTAATATAAATATTTAATGTAGGTACCTACAATATTATTTTTGTAGAAATTAGCATTAAGTACAATAATATCGATAATTAAGAAATGATATACAGTTGAATTTATTAAACGATTTTAGAATAATTTATTAAGTAATGTCTAATTATATTGACAGTGTAATAGTATATAATATACGAACATAATATAAAGACACATAACATATTGATATACCTAGTGGTATTATTGTTAGTAAAAAAGCTTATTTCGTTATCGATGCCCATGTCAGTTAATCGATTGATTTCCTCCACCACGGCATAATGATAAAGTCGTGTGTCGAGGGAAATAAACAAATAAAAAGGTTTAAAAAAACGAGATAGTTATATTTATATTATTTTGTATAGTATATATGTTTATTGATGCTCAAGCCGAACAGCGTTGCCGCCGGTACCTACCCCATCTTTATAGCGTAATTGGTGATCGTAAAACTCGATAATTTTCTCGTGAGAGCCGGCAAAAAGACTGAGAGACATGCGGAAAGACATTATAATAATAGGACGCCTCTCTCGGCGCAGACACTGATGGTGAATATTCCGGTAATAAAGCCATCGCACCAGATATGTATGCACTATTATATTATTATTATATAAGGAGGCTGTTGCTGCACCACTCGTGTCTGTAATCATGTGCCAAATCGTAAACTTCCCATTTACACACATATACATACTAAGACCATAACTGTGGCATTATAATTACCTGAACCCCGGCAAACAAATCAGAACAAGTACCTACAATAAAGTCGGACGTTAAACCCGGCCGGAGCGCCGGGGACAAGGACGGGCAAAACGAATAATAAAAATTAAAAACCAAATACAAATATAAAATACATCCTCAGGGCGTATGTATGCGCGTCTGGACCGTCAAAATAATTACTGTTGTGGTTTACGACCTCGTGCCCAGATTGGAGGCTGTACAGACAGGAGGGTTTTTCCACTCGTGGAGATAGGTCCGTTTCTTTATTTTTATTTCCCTTCATCTGTTTGTTGCTCATCTTACACTTTGACCGAGATCAGTACTACTCCGAAAAATGGTGTGATGGACGTCCACAGCAGGTAGACATTACTGGGTATAATAATTTCCCCAAGTGTAAGAATAGTAATGACATTAATAATTTCGACTAGAAAATTTGTTGTAATAGTGACGTTGGTTTGAACCTTCTTTATCGAGTATTGTTATTTAACTAAAAAAGATTGTAACATTTTTCGTTTTGGTATTCATCTAAAATGGTCATCTCTTATCCGTGTAGTAGTTACCTAGTTGTTTGGTTCACACGACAACTGCTATTTTTTTCAACATAATAATAATTATAATTGTTTTAGTCACTTGCTTTAACTCTTTGATGACTGCAGCTCTTTTCTTTTATCTTTCTCAAAAAATACAGAAATATTTTTTTTGTTCAATTTGTTCAGTTATTATGCGGTGCTACTTAATTTATCGTGCTGCTTCTTATTACTTATTTTTAAATGTCAAAACAAATAATACAAATGTATATTATATTTTGTGTTAATGAATTTGAATTTTGAACAAAATACAATAAAATTTAATATTGTTTTAAATTTTTATAAAAATATATTATTTTCCCCAGTGAAATAATTTTAAAAAATATTATGCACGTGGAATGAAAACTATCATTTTATTTTAATATATATATATTATAGTTTTTCACGGTTATGAAGACTGTTTTAAACAATTTACCCTGTAGTGCATCGACATCTGCAGTTTGTATCAGATATACCTATATATATACTTTTTAGGTCCACACTGTCAAAACAGAAAATTATAAGTTTGAAATAAGAGCATTGGGATTTTTGAAGACGTTTAAATCATTCCCCTATGTACCTATTGTATAATTCTTATATAATTTATGTAGCTATCGCACATTTATACATTTATTATTATTAGGTGTTATTAATTGTTGCTTTTCATCGGGGTTTCTACGTACACCCGCAGTGTTTAATTTGTGTTCGTTTTTTTCTTTAAGACCAGCTAACTCGCCATGCAGCCATAAATATCGATACGGATTCCCCCAATTAAGCTCTAAACAAAATAAATAAAACCGAAGCATAGTAATTAACCCATGGGTTCTGTATGTTATAATCATCAGGTTGGGTGAAAAATAATTGTTCCAATAAAATGTATAAATCCTGCTTCCGAGGCAGAAGCAGCATCGGCAGTATCTTTTTGGAATCAGGCGGGTCGCAGCTTGCGGCTGTTACGCCTTCCTAGTTCTGAAGTGGATATAGTTAATAACTAGATGTGTGTATAATGTATATATATATTATATATAATATATTATAATATGTTATGATGAGAATATTTTATCTGCGCGTACCTGTCGTTTTCGTTGATATAATTTTTTCAATATTTTTTACGCCTTCGTTATACATAGTTCTGATAGGAATCTACAGGAACAGAAGCAGGAAATCTTTTTTTCTCACAGCGATTAAAAATAATTTGCTACCTATGAGAACAATAATTGTTGTGTTTATTTTGCCATATTTGTTTTCGAGTTTATTTAATATTTAATATGTATAGGTAGTTTATATTTGCCTGTACACAACTATAATTTATGACTCACTGGCATGGCGTGGTGTATTTCAAAGACAATTTCACGTATTGGTACTTGCCACTTGGTACTACCATTGGAATTAGGTTTTAATTTTGCCTATTCAGTATTCTGCCTTAAGACTGGTATAGCTACCCAGTGTACAATGACTGATTACTATTGACTTAAATAACTGTTAACGGTTATTGTGCATGAATTAATAAATATGATTAAAATATAACGCTAAAAAAAATACACAAACATATAGGTAGGTATAAGTATTTAGATTGATCCAAATTACTCAAAACTTATTGATTGTCGGAATAATCATCGTAGTATGTATTAATTACTATTTACGTCATTGTACATTTATACAGTTTCTGAGTACGTGTAAAATTGTTTTCGTTCTTACATGAATTGTAGAACATGAGAATAAATCAGAAGTATTTGTAATCATGTATAATATGTAGTAATTTAAAAAGTAAACACGATGAAGAGGAAAAAAATAAAGCGAGAAATGAATTTTCCGTTATTTTAACTTGGTACCTATGTTTGTTATCGTGTTTGATTTATTACCAATAAGTGTTGGTTAGGTAGATGAGAAATAAAATGATAATTCACGCAATTTTTACATTACTTACACGACGGCCGCGGTGGCTTCAGCAGTGCCTAGAACATAGTTTTTGTAGGTTCAAAATATATTAGCCAATGATTTCTTGTTCGTTGATGTGACTACCGTTACAGAATTAATTGTTTTTCTTTTCGGTCGCTGAGGTGGTAATTTTCAGGATTTTCATCTTAATGCTGCCTTCTGTCCACGTGTGTGTGTGTCAAGAAGTATGTGTAATAAATTGTGTGTCATTTTACCAGCACTAGCGAATAATCGAAAGGGTCTGATACAAAGGCACAGACCGTAATAATTAGGAATGTCGTGTGTATGTATAATATACCGATAGGGCGTGATTTTATCTCAGCTCGTAAAATATGACTATATACGACTTTATTACCGACCCGTGTATACATATATTACCCCCTATAACTTAGTCAAGCCGCCGCACTGGTGACGTGCCAGCATATACGAAATACATACGCATATTATACATGTAGATATATTATTTGCATACCAACTGCAGCTTTGGAAAACAGTTTCAAGATGTTTTTGTGTCACCGAATGATATTTAAAATACTAAATTGTGCGTTTGGTTCACAGGATGAGTTATGGGGCAACTGTTCGAAGAAAATTAAACTGGATACGGCGTGCGTCAACGGGACTAGTGCCTCCACAACGGCCGCCGCTCCCACATTCGTCAACAACGGCGCATTAGAGTTGGGAATCAGAAGGAGTGCTCGAAACAGAAGGCCTAGGGGTGAACTGATCGTGGTTTCTTCCAACGACACATTGCTTGATCTCAAGATGAAGGTAAGCCGATTATGATAACTGTCGTATCTGCTCAGTTGTTATTATATAAATTATGTACACCGCGAAAAACTCGTCGTGTGTAGTAATATAACACCACTGCAACGGAATTGAGTCATCCGTACGATATTATTGTCGGCGTGACTTGGAACAAAAAAAAAAAATCATTTTCGTTTAAAATGTGTAGATAATAATGCAAATTCACGAGTAAAATCGTTAAATCTGCTTATTTTGTTTGCTACACCATTAGCAGGTATTTAAAAACCCTAGCCAAATAAACCTACCTATGACTGACCGTTATCGACTTAATTCGATCATTGACTAAGGTACCATATAACATATACCAAAACATACTGTGACCACAACAAAAAATCGTAAAAAAAAAATATAAAAATGATAAGTAGCCTGCAATTTTGCACAGTATAGTAATGACAGTATGACCATGTAAAATTGATATTTTTCCAGAAATCTACTATGATACTAGTATCTATTATATCTATTTGTACTTTGATAATATATACATAACATAATATATTATATATCTGTATTCTATATACAACATATAGTAATATACTAATACGTATTATAAATATTATTTTTCCGTAAGAAAATTGAGTGGCCAGAATATGATTCTATGTATCTACTCTCAAATAAAATTATGTAATATGATTTTAATGGTGTATTATATAATTTATTTTGACGAGTGTACCTAATTAAATAACATAATATCAGACGTAGAATAAAGTTTTAAACAATACAGTAACATTAGTCCTTAAAGTTCAAGGTTTCCTGACGTTATTTTACAAGTGGCTAAAAAAAAACCTTGTTTTAACGCATCTTTACAATCTATAACGTTTTATAGAAAAAAAGTAGATACATTTTACTTGACTTTTATCATAAAATAATTGATTAATAGTTATTACTATTATTACTATTACAGTATTACCATTAAACTAAAATATTTGTGAGTTGTGATAACGTTATTATATACCTATGATTCTCAATCACAGAAAATGTATTACATATTTGCGTGTGTGTGTCGTATATATTACAATTTAATTTGACAAGAGTAATTGAACAAGACCGGTTTAAAGTTTTTACGATGGTATATTACTTTTATAAAATTCCAACAATTGCAATAATGATTTTGTTTTATTAATACAATTACGTCTATACTCTATAGTCTATATATAGTATAATAGTATATGCATACTTAAAATAATACGTAATACAATATCGAAACAACGTATTTACATTTCGATGTATACCTACCACGTACCCAATATATTAATATATATATTGATTATTATTATATATTAATCATTAATTTATCAAAAGATTTATTAATAATTGGTGTTAAAACAACTCATATTACGAAAATGATCAAGGAATCAAAGTAATATCTAAGCAGACTAAGAGTTTCAATACTTCTAATAAATAAAATAATTAAACCTTATAAAAAGTTTGTTTATATACAATTCGAATTCTACTAAAATGAACATTATGCGTGCAGATAACAACACCTATTATAATCTATATTATAATATATTCAAACAAAGTTATTTTGAAAGATTAGAATGAATACCAACACTGACACATGTAAGCTAAAACCTTAGTCCTTGCAGGTTATTATATTAGACGTGTTCTCACACATACTTCAACCCATTTCATCTTCACTATTTTCTCAGTAAAGTCAGTTGGTTAAAACTTGACAGCTTTGAACATTTCAAAACTTCAGGCTTAATGCAACTGTGTCGTAGAATCCTGTCGGAGACTTGTTCACGTGCATATGTGTGACTGACATTCTAAAGTCAATAATATTGTTGTTTAAACTTCGCCCAAGTGTGGTATAATTTTTTTCTTTCGAATTTGAATTTTCACTTTTCTGTTACAGATAGATACTTTTCGAATACCCTCGGCCCTCGCGTTATGGTTTTACGATAAATATGTTATTAAATTTCGTTAAACTTAAAACTATTTTTTGAACGCGGATTAGATTTAAGTGGCTTGCCGCTATGGGCTGTAATAATTATTACGGTTTCAGAAATTTAAAGGTGCGATGCAAGAATATGTTATACATATTATATTATTGTGGGAGATATATGATCCGTGTGCGGATGGCTTTATATATTATAAATATTCTTTATGTGTGCTCGGCCAACCCACAATATAGTCGAAGTCGTCGTGGTGAATATTTATATTATTATTGTGTTGTTATCCTATACTATATATTGAGTCATTAAAAACACGGGGCGAACTCGAGCAGGCGGCAGCCGGAGCAGCAGTGCTGCAGGACGCCCCGGGGCAGAATATTTCGCGACGCGCTGGTGGCGTTTAACTGCCGCCGCCGCAATCTCGGTTTTTTTATGTTGATTTTCCCTTCCTCTTGCCCTCTACCACCACCACCAACACATCACCTCGACTGAAACAATTGTTTTTTACGACACTCACTTATTATGAGTAGCGTAGAACGGCAAATGGAAAACGCGAGCATATGTAACCACTTTAACTCGACCGCAGTGATAACCGCGCCGAAGAAAACGCTAAATTATATTATCGAATATCGACGGCGATAATATTATTTGATTTTCGGTCGTCAATGTTGGTCACATACCGAGTGTTGTTTAATAATTGTATTAAATATTTCAATATGCATTCCGAAATGTTTACAGTCTGCAGTTGTCCGTTGATAGATTGGATGCGATGTGGTTGTAATTTTATTCGAATAAAAAAGCAGTTTTATACTTAATACGAGACTAAGTGTTAATAAGCTTAGGTTCTACTTTCTTGTCTAACGGATACCTATGTCAATGCCCAATGCTAATATAAAATATAATACCTAGGTATCATTATGTGGCATATACTACACTATTACCACCTATATACTATTTAAAATGTAAACGCTGTGAATGAAACAATATAGCTTTCAATTCTGATATATTAAAACCGTTGTTATTTAAATTAAACATAATAGGTATATACTATACTACATGTAATAAACTAAAATGTTCAGACAGGCTGTAATGTTAAAAAACATTATTATATCATACTTGTTTATTACATAAACGTAGCACGCTACTCGATATTTTCCATTTCGAAGAAAATGTATTAATCATAAATATGTATTAATAAGCAACCTTTAATTGTATATTGTATAATGTATAATGTATTCCTATAGAGGGAATTAGCTAACTTTTACATTTTATTCGATTCTATATTATAGTGATAAACAAAACGTTACACAAAATCGGTTAGAAAATAAAAATATCTCAATACCGATTCGAAAAACATAATATTTATATTAAATAAGTATTTCTATTCTTAAACGAATTTATTTTTTCTCGACAACAACCACTATAATACATTATTATTTGAAAGAATTTCTACTGTTGTAGGTACCTAGTGAATTTGTAGTTATAAGAATATTTTGATAATATCAATAATTATCAATCGGTTTTCAATATATATTTGAACGTTATAATTATTTTTCAATTAATGCATCTTAAACCTTAAATTGTAATTTAAAATTTCTATTTGAATAATTTGAAGTATATGATTATGAGCTCATATACTTAATAATAAAATATTTTTGAACATTTTAGTTACTTAATGTTCGGAAAAGTGTACCACAAGACCAATTTGATCTAGTCAAAAAACGAATGATATCTATTTTGTTGAATTATTCACAATTGTGTTTGTTTAAATCGACTAAGTATAATTTAAAATTTATTTTAATCGTTTCTAATATTTACAAAGACGTTAACTGTAATTACTCTGCTCGGACCGTCTTAATTGGTATAATTTATAAGAACGTTATCAACTGAGCGGGTAATCCGCCGGAGACAAATCCGTTTGAGGGATGCAAATGTCGAGTGAGCAAATGGTAATAGTGTTAGGAGGGTGTAGTATGTGTATTTAAGCGCCGAATTCGTTATCATAACTGCTGCTGCTACTGCTTGGACCCTTAGCAGTTGACTGTTGAGGGAGGAGCGGGGGAAGAGGAAATATTAATGACGTCAGGCTGGACCAAAGGACGACAAAAAACAGTTTACCGTTCTATTATTAATCTAGAACATTCAGATGAAGGTTAGGAGAGGGTTAAATGACCGTAAGTGCTGGCCCCGACAGCAAAACCCCCTAAGGCCGAATAGCTTTTTACTGCGAAGAAGTCACCCTTTCCTTCTATCTCACCCTCTCGCTCTTACCAATGCACCGTCTCTTCCCTCTCACATCCAATCTCCACTCGGTATATCTTTAATCATAATTCAAAGGTTTTACACACACTGTGTATATACGAGAGAGTGTATCGGACACCGGGCGGACGTGATTAACTGCTCTGCGAAATTGTAACTGTGTGTTAGAGTGTGAACTTTACCCGAGAGAACTTTCCCACCCTCTGAGCTAAATTGGCTGGACATTGGATAACTCAGAACCCTTTTCATTTTTTTCGCTTATAAACTTGATGCAACACACTAAACTTATTCATTCGATTTTTTTTACCATCATATTTTGTTTGACGTTTTAATCGTTGCCGTGTGAACTTTTCAAATGTCATTTTTCGTATGCTATTCGGTCGACATGCGCAAATTATTCATGTGTTTTGTTGTACACTTGACATAGGATTTTCCATGACGCCAACCATTTAACTATAAATTCATAACAATAAAATATACTTACAGGGAAAACAAACTGACCAGAGTTAACTTAGCTGCACCTGCGATCGTTTGACCGCTGACATTGATTGACTGATACATTTTGAAAATATAGGAAATCAAAATCCACAGACCTTTTATCCTGCCCCGGGATTATTTTAATTGCGCCCCCAACAGTATAAATATAACCTTTTGTCCGGACTAGCCTTGGGACAAATGTCATCCACTATAATTCTGTATACTGTCTTAACAAATATCAATTAGGGTGGAATTATAATATTAATCACTGTAAGTTTAGTTTGTTATTTTTTTTAAGTGTATAAAGTTATCTTATTTTCTTTAATTACTCACACAGAAGTATGTTTAGGATAGTTAATGGAATAATATTATATTTTATCACGAGTTCCTATACTTAGTCGTGATCAATATGTGTCAGTGACAATGATAGTTATTTTATAGGTACATATTGTTAATTGACAAAAAAATTACATTTTATAATAAACTGTAAAACGAGTTTATTAACGGTGATTTAAATGTTGACGTTTTGTGTTCGCAGATCATGGGTGCATTCAACGTCATGCCCAATGATCAGCACCTGAAAACAGCAGAAGGTGTTAGGTTGGATGATAATGAAGCTACATTGGCTGACCTAGAAATTCTTCCCGATACATTAATTCTAGCAAAGGTAAGCAGAATTTATTGACCAATTATCAGAAATACTTCAAACTTCAAACTCTATAATTAAGATAAATGTATTAAAAAAACATACCTAACTAGGTTATTATAAATAATATATAAAGGTATTTATTATATTTTTTACTAATCATAATTAATAATATACACTTGTGTTGGTAGTTTTTATTATGTTTATGATATACCTTTAAATAATCTCTTTACAGTATCACCTAGAATCAATAACTTATTGATAAAGGTGTCACTCATCATTTTTTTGAGCTCTAATACACGAATGAATGTTAACGACAAATATAATAAAAATAAAAAAAAACATAATATGTAAAATTTAAATATTCCTCATTAATTTGGTTATACCGTAATAATAAATTGTCATTCGGCACTTATTGTGTTTTCTCCGTCTTACAAATGCATAACATAGCAAATTTTACTCTCAGGAAAACACGTGTAGCTCCGCTCATTTAAAAATTAGAGTAAATTGACCTCTTATAAAATTTAAAGGTAAGATTATTATCTAGACAACCTCATGAGCTTTTCATTATATTTAAATTTTAAAGCGAGCTATTTGTATTTTAAAATTGTAAATTTACATTTTAAAGTACTCATAAGTCATAACTCTCTTAAAAATGTAAATATAATGAAAAGCTCATGAGGTTGTCTAGATAATAATCTTACCTTTAGATTTTATAAGAGGTCAATTTACTCTAATTTTTAAACTAACGGAGCTACACATGTTCTGCTTTGCGTAGAATTTGCTGTTACGCACTTGTAAGACGGAGATAACACGGTTATCACGTCCTCTTAAGATACTGAAAAGGTAAATAACATTTAAAGCATTTTAGTGAAATATGAACTAGGTTATGTTTTGAACTGAAATATTGCCATTCTGCAAACAGTATCTGGACTAAAAGTAAATAGTTATTTCTATGTATTGTGTGCGGTTTGAGGATAGTTGGAATATATTTTGTAAAGTATTTTTTAAAAAAGATTTCCGGGTGTAGTGAATGCGGTTGCCACAGATAGAGTTAAGCTCTCGAACTGACCAGGAGAATTACTGTATTTATTGACCTATCTGCTCCTTAAATGTTGACAATGATTTATTTTTCCTCTGAAATATAAGTATTTTTTTATACAACAAATACCTACTATCAAATAATCTCCAACCAACTTTATTGTAAAACTTAACGAGATTTGAATTTAAATTTTACATAAATATCAAACAAGTATCATAGATATATTTTACATTTAAATTGGTTACCTATGTCAACGTATGCGATTAAATTTAAATGGTTTATATCGGTTACCGGTTTCAAAAATACATTGTAATGTATACGTACTCGATACTCTGCAATCACACATGCACACTTAACTATCTATGACACTTAAAATATGAAATGATAATTTATCTATAGAAAAAAACCTAATAAGGAAACACACTATAAGCACTCTATAGGAGCATCATGCGATATCTTCCTGGTTTCTATATCTACGTAATTAATTACCTAGTTAAATATTATTTAACCAATACATCTATGCTATATTTCAGTTTTACAAAACAAAATCAAATGTACATTATGTTCAAATTGGTATATTTTAAACATTAGGAAGCACTATTTCACTCAGCTTGGCAATAACATAATAAAAATAAAAGCTCGAAGTTATTAAATATCATTTATAGTTAAATGTAAGTGGCTATATGGTATATGTAGGAACCCATTTTAATTAAATTATCTGTGCATCCTGAAGTTAAGTTAAAAAAAATCAACTATGTAGTATGTAGTAGCTATTGGAACTAATTCAGTTTTTGACTTGGAAGGGGGCTGCATATTTTAATAAAACAGGCCCGTGGGGGCTATGCACCCCATTTCCCATGTTTTGGATATCAATAAAATATATTACCTTGTGTAATATAATATATCATAATTTATGTATTATTAAAATAGGATAACAGTGTAAAACTAAAAACTACAAGTCCTTTCAATCTCAGATTGTGTTTTAAACAAATTAATGAATTAATAAACCGATAAGCAATAGCGTTATGAATAATAAAGACGGGGATTGAAATACAAGTATTTAACGTCATGAATAGGACTGTTGTATAAATCAAAATCAATTTTAAAAACACACTAATAATATGTACCTATTATAATTCATAATAATATAATTTTAAACCTACATTATGTGCTGTGCATCAATTATAAATTGTTGTCTAAACTTAGGAAAATTATATTTTCAAACAACGTTTACTCTATAGATTAAATCATTAATGGAGGATTTAATACTTCAATTATAATACACATATGTGGAGGTGCTAAGCCGCCCCTTCATGTTCTCCCCTAAAATGCGCCTATATAGTGGTAGCAGTGCCACAAAAGTCGGGATTGACAGTCATAAGCCCCCCCCCCACATCAAATTTTGGACCACTGTGCTAAATTTTTTTATGGGCCCTATACAAAACTTTGGGCACTTCCAATAAAATTCAATCCTTGTACTCCAGGTCCCTTGTGCGGGGGCCCTAGTCATAAGCATAACGTTAATCGTGTTGATAATAGATATTAATATTTTTATTATAACTATTATTATTATTTTTTTTTTTTTTATTATAACTATGATTATTAATTTTATTATTATTATTATTATTATTAAGTTTTCGAAACTTATTGTATCGTTACAGTATACAAATCTAAAACCTAGCTTCATACAAAGTTTAAGAGTGTAATATGATATTATTTTGTAGTTTTCGGATCGTCTGTCTAGAAATAACGTTGTTTTATTCCGCTCTTCGATGCCATCACAATACTATTACCTATGTGGCATGTATTTAATACATATTATAATATTACATGCGTTGAAAATCGGTGGCGGTACACCACCGAAATTTATCGCGCACACCGATTATATTATAATGGATGACTTGCACGTCAAATGATTCGTGAACACCACACTCCGGCGATTCACCTGCACAACCCAAAGCACACAGTGCTATTACGTCTTTTAATAAATATTCAACAGTCCGGGTATTGCAGATGATGTGTATTGTTTCGAAAACAAAAAAAAGCTTAAGGTAGATTATGTCCATGGGTACTTATATATAATATAATAACGATCGAGTTGATCTGTCGGCAGCTGAATTGAATGGGTTCCGATTGAAATAAACTATTTACTTAGGATTTTTTTTCACCGACGGCGACGCGTTTTCGTCTTCCGTTATTTTTTCTGTGTACCTACTGAAACGCGATCGTGTCTGGTACCCGAGACACGTGCTCCGTGAATTACCAGGTTAGTTTTTTTTTCGTTCGTCTCCGGAATCCCCGAGCATAATAATTGCCCGGTGCTCCATTTACTTTGGTGTGTGTGTGTTTTTTCCTTCCAATCGTTTCACCGCCGACCGACCATCACCTGCCTTTAACAAACAATAATAATTCGTGGCATTTAGCTTCCCTTTTTTTTATCACTCGTACCAAATTTATGTATTCAAATTATATGTATACATTTGTTTGTTTACACCGTCATTGGACGACAAGTATCTTATTATAATATTATATAATTGATATTTTACGTATACATAAGAAAAAAACCCTTCCAAGTCAATGTTTCGCTTTTTTACAAACTAAATTACTATGATACTTGTGGTATAATATTATGTTATTAATATTTTTCCATTTTAATATTGATTAATGCGTTTTCAAAAATGTTAATTTCCTAAAACAGTTAAATGTAATTTATCAATTTGCTTATTCCAGATTTTTCTAGTTTGTTTCTGGTCAGATAAACTTATAGACGGCCGTTAACGTTTTCAGTATATTGCTTAAAATCAACAGCATAATATTATATAATATATGTTCCAGTCGTTTTGAGATTTTATAAAAAAATAAATTATATGTAGGTATGTACCGTATACAAAACCATCAGGGGCTTATACGATTTCGACGTTAATGATCTGATCGCGAGAGCTTCATAAAATATTTTGACGTCTTTGTATATACCATGACGTATTTTGTGTCTCCCGGGACGCCTTGAGGGTCCGATGAACGATCGCGGTGGTATCCCATGTCTCTACTGTGCACGTGACGAGGAGGTAAAGGGGACAATGGCCTTTTTTTCGAAGAAGGTATATACGCGCGCGTGTGTATGCTCGGAAAGCACCGATCAACCTACCGAATACCGCGTAACGGGTTGACACCATATGCACACGTATAGGGCGCTTTCGCTCTTCCGAATAAACTATCTCTCTTTCTCTCTCTTCATATATATATATCAGCAGTTTGATCCCGAAAAACGGTACATGTGCGTCCAGACCTCCAGGCTCGTTCCCACGGCGTCGACTTGTCACCCATATATATATATACGTGCATGTACACATGTGTTATCGTCGTGATAATATATGAAGTGTAGAATACAAAACCGTTCACGCATCGGCGCCATGTGTACGGCGCACGCATATATATATATAACCTCCGAGTGTGTGTATACTGTGCGCCGAAAGCGAGGAGCAATGATAATATTTAATTATAATATTAGATAGGAAAAAAAATAAAAAAATACTTAACAACAACCCTTAGACTGCCGGGGTAAATCGTCTAATGGGTTAATGAAACGATGACTACACCGCCCACGAGAGGTGTGCTCGCGTGGTGGTTTCTTCTTAAACGTTTTTTTCCGTCATCTGTATAATAATAATAGTTTCCCTCGACGGCTTGTACGAAATATTAAATTGGCCGTGTCTAATTGAAAATTATTTAAATTGCCGTTTTTTTCTATTCATAATAATATGAAGTTATCATCGCATCCCGCTCGTCGCCAGAGCAGAGAGACCACACATACGCAATATTAATACTTAATAATATGTAGTCTACTATACAAGCAGTATCGGAATTGTAAGTCACCATATGGGAGTATTTTATTTTACTTGCAAAAAAAAAAAAAAAATTTGTGTTTTTTTCATTACAGAAACGACCATGTTAACTTCATTTATACGTACTATGCGTGTTGAAGTTTAGTTAAATCGTGTTTTTTTGTTTAAATATAATACATTAGCGGTCAATTTTAAATATTGGTATGTAATGAGGTCTTGACTGGTATGATATTTATACACGCATCAGTCAACATACATCATCATTCATCATAGGTAAATTTATTATAGGAGCATTATAACGTGTTAAATATTATTATTGTTATTACTATTTTAAAACATATATTTTATGTTCGATATAGTAATTTGAAGTAATTGACCATTTAAATAAAATTCGTATGCTATCAATTTCTTATTTTAATGTCTTTAAATTAACTAACTAAAACATTATTGGATAATCCTTAATTTTAAATATAATAGTACCTACCTATATTTTTTTTAAATCTCCATCAGTATTTGTTGTTGTAGAATATATTAAAAACACAATTTTTTTAAGTGTACCTATTCATCATATTTTTATGGATTTCATATGATGATGGTATTTTAAAGAAATTATATCATGTAATTGTATTCGAAGTAAAATCATTTATCGCTTCGAATTTTCTACATATTTATAACATTAATATAGAAAACACCCAAGAGACAGTATTTTCAATTTTGTGTACAGTATATATATATATATTATTGTTTGTATACAATACAAAAATGTTATTATCTCGCTATACATTTTTAAATCACCAATAGTAATATATTTTTTTGTTATTCAGTACTCTGCGCATCTTTCACGTTATATACTTATTATTATACCTAATAATTAATAGTATAATTATGATTTATGACTATGGACGCTACAGATAGTTAGGTCTATGAACCATAATATTATATATCACTATTCAGTATTCAATAGTACTAATATTGTATTTTGGATTATTGATAAAAAATGTAGTGTATGACTTATATATTAAGCTTATGTTTCCGTGAATATTATTGCGGAATTATGAAAATTATCGTATTTAAAAATGATACCGAGGTTGTGTAAAATGTTGGAATATTGTTTTATATAAGAATGCCACCAAAAATCTATTTCCGATTTGTAGGTATTCGTAAGATATTGTCCTTATTCAATATGCTTCTAACTATTTAGCAGTGAGTATTTTGTAGATGTACGATGTACAGTTTACACATAGGTATCTTTATCTAAATAAATTATTAACTTTCTATAGCTACCTATTGTTTCTACCGTAAGTCGTAACAGTCATGGATATAAAATCAAAATAAATACATTTTGGGGGTTGGCTACTACTAATAATGATTTACCACCTATATTCTGTAATGATGTTGGTACCTACCTAATATATTTTTCAGAATTATCTGACCTGTTCCGTTCTCTACGGTATTTTACTGAACTTATAACAATATACTACCATAAAATATATTCAATGTTTAAAAACAATTTTAAATTCTTAAATACATTTTTTTACAGTTTGACGAACCTACCGAAGACCTGCCAGAATTTGTCGCTGAGGAAGAAGCTGGCTTCAAAGGTTAGTTCACATACATTCATTTTTTTAATATAAAATCGTACCGTAACGGATCTTCCCTTAGAAAGATTCGTTTTTAAACTGGATCATACTATAGTGTGACAGAACGATGATGGAATGTGAGAAAACACTTTGATGGCTTTAACACTCATTTGTACCGCATAATATATATAAGGGGACATTATATGAGCTATTATTGTTCGGATGTGCCAGCTTCCTGTGTTTGTATTTCTTGACACGTTTTTTTTTTCATTTCACACGCATTGTTATGTACGCATCGAGATTGAATTAAAACTATTAATTACTGACGTCTTTATCACCATTACTTACTTAACTAACACATCGTATATAATTTTGTAACAATTTTTTATTCTGAACATTTCCTAAGTGATAATTGACTCGTAGTATTTCGGCAAAATAGTGTTTACTCTTCATACATTTTTTTGAAGCAGTATGTACGATCCTATTCTGCATATGAATGTTCATCACATTATGTATTATCATTAATTATTCCATGTCTTAATGACTCGATACACTTCCTTTCAATATTTCGTTTCTCTCGGATATAGAATATTTTACATTCTAACCGATTACGTCGGACAACAAGTATTGTATTAAAATTGACACTAACTTCAAACAGTATGAAAAGTAAAAAATCACGAGGCAGTTTCGTTACAGCGCTAGTAAGAAATAAAAAAAAATAACTTTATCGGTAGACAAATAAATTCCCTTATAATTTCCCAATGTGCGTGTGTCTGTATGCTTCTACATATATATATATATAGTTCAGTGGACACACTCGTATTCTTGCGGAGAGCTGTTGACATTGGACAACAACAACGACGTCGACGATGACGGCATTATTATATTGCCCCTGGGTATTATATATAAAGCCGCAATCGCGTTTCCACGTGATTATTTCCGTTTTGACTTTTAACCCACTATAGACTATTATTATTATTATTACGAGGAGCTGCAAGACCGCGGTGACCACCCGAATTCGAAAAATCGTAATCACGTAAAACGAGACGGCGGAAGTCGTGATGCATATAGACGTACATTATAATATGCGTACGTTGGTTGTTGTATTATTGAAATTCTTGCGGGGGGACAAGAGGCGGTGACGGTGCCGCAATTACCGCAACGCATAATATCATCGTAATCATCATTATGTCGCGGCCGTGTCATTTCCGGTCGGTACACACACTCCACCACTGACGGCCTGCTTCTTCCCCTTATTCGGTGGTCTTGGCATGCGGGATAATAACGTCGAAAACTTTCCCGAGTCACGTCACTCAAAGTTGCTTTAAAACGCACAACACTATAATACCTATATATATATATATACATACCAAAGCTGGGCGGTAACTAATAGTTAAACATTTACGATTCAAGTGATTTTTTTATGGGAACTTTTAATTTGATTTTTTCTTTGACTTACAATTAAGTTATTATGTTATTTTTTAATTTTTACCGATCTCCATTTAATTAATATTTAACTAACGGTTGAAGTGTAGAGTATAGAATATGAGTTATGGAATTATGGAAGTTTATTATATTATATTATTGTTATGCCGACAGGATTTGAGTCTTGTCGGCGGCTTCCATATACAGTCATCTATATCCTATATATTATACTCTATATAGCCGCCCAATTAGCGCCATTCGAATTCAGGTCTCTCCGTTTTGTATGTGCGTATCGTGTAAAAGTAATATTTATTTTTTCCTCCGACGCACACTCACACGCGGTTATCTCGTCGTGTATACACCGTACTCGGGCTCTCTTAGACTTATACCCGTTTTTATCGTCAATTAAACCAAGAAACCCTGTACAGTATACACGATGTATGTTTATAGTGTATATAATATGTGTTTAGCGACCGTAAATCTGCAACGATAATAATCATGATATTAATAATATGTGCCGCTGCGGCGCGAGCATTTTCGCACCACTATATTATTATATTGTATACGTGCAATTCACGTGGGACCCGACGACGATACAAATGATGCACTTGGCCGTTTGTAGTTATTATTTTTTTTTCTTTCCCTCTTTCTACTCCTGTTCCTTCGGAGCGTTTTATTTTCTCTCCGACATCGTTAACAATTTAATTCATTATTATTATGATTATTATTATTTCCCTGACACGTGATATATAGTAATAGCTACGATTGGCGCCGTATACCGCGAAAGACCACTGCGCCAAAGTCCCCTGTCCTGGATTATTTTCACCTCGATCACTTGGTGATTCCCCCCTCGGCTTCAAACTTTCAGCTAACGATCGTAAGCCAATCGCGACCGATTGGTAGATAGCTGATACGGTAGATACGGCTCTAAGGGTATTTTTCTTTTAAATTCTCATTAGAAATATTGAGAGCGATATTTCATTTTACAGCTCATCTGGTGCGTACAAAAACAATCGGAAACTATATATACACATTTTGTTTTTAGTATGTTTATTTCCATATATTATTATTCCAAGAACCTAACAAATTTATTGAAATAGCCTAATAAATTGATTTAATCAACCGGTGAAAAACGGTGAAATTGTACGTAATAATCTAATATTTAATATTTTTTTTCAGGTACTGAGCTAATGAGTTGAAAGATCCGAATTGAAATTTGTACAATAAAGAAATATAAATATATATATAACATTAATTTAATAAATCCATATGGGTCGATATAGTTTATTACTTTTATTCATATATATTTATACGAGTATGTATATATCAATATTGTATTGAGTTAGGTAGGTGACTAACTAGTTAAGTAGGTGACTATTACTAAATAGTTATTTTTAACACTTATGTATATATAATATTAGTGTACCTATATGTTAGTATTTATTTCAAGCTAAATTGTTAAAACAATTATATTTTTATATTATTTAAAAAAAAATGTTTTTAAAGGCTTTTTTTTAGACAGGGATATTTAATTGAATTTGTTTACTTTGAGTTAATTTATATTTATGCAAGCAGCGCGTCTGCTGGTCATATTAAAATAGTGTCATCTCTCCGCCAGTTGACTTCATCGTTGTGAAGCCACAGGAGAGAATATCGTTTCAAACTTTTGTTGTTATATCGTAATCTTTAATTAATTATTATTATCATTATCATATTATAGTATTGTATATAAATATTTTTTTGATAGCAACGAAACACTGAACAGTTTTAATGAGATATTATATATTGTGTTGAGTGTGTTATATGATAATGGATTACTTACTATTTTTGTATCTTGCTTTGATGTTAAATTTTCGCACATTTATACTTTGTGTGTGGAAATTAAAATAACTATTATTATAATAATAAAGAACAGGAACATAAGGATACCAAAAAAATTGATTTGTTAATGTTATTTACTTTCGTATAGGTGTTTTCCGATTGGTGGCGGTTAGGATTGCTCGGTGCTACCGTATATATTAGCCAATAATAACGCGACTTTCGTGCCGTTATCATTGCGTGTATAATTAACATAATCAGTCAAATTATAGCAGCGGGCGTAAACATAAATCCATTCATTATATTAATAATATTCGTGGCCCTATATTGTCGTCGTCTTACCCCGCGACGATGAATGATTTATAGTGTGCCAGCAGCGGTGGCGCAAAGTCGGTCGAAACTCCGTGAGTATACAAGTCGTCGTGATATTGGTGTTGTTGTTGTTGTTGTTGTTGTGGTGTCGATGACTGGGTTTTCAACTCGGTTACTTGCTGCCTGCGTCCACTTCAGTCGAGGTAGGGGAGCGCGTGGAAACTTAAGGGTGGTGGCGTCGTCGTCGTCATTGTTTCTGTCTTTCTGACGGTATTATATTATACTATATAGTGTATAATATTATAGTACATAGGCATACCGCGAGTTTTTGATATTGACACATATGAGTCATGAAATTGTTTTACACGAACTTTGCCGAAAACCCGAGAAAAGGACCATTCAATAATTGTGCAAGTTTATACTTAATATGTATTGGTAATGTATTATTTTCCTTTTACCGTGTGTGGGTATGGGTCTACGCACCGAGTATTTTCGATGGTCGACTTTGGCACGTGTGTATAATATTATGATGTAAATTGTAGAGCAGAGGTGATGCAGTAGGGTGTGATGTTTGCTTTCCGTTTTGAAGTGTCACGGGGGAGGGTGTGATGTTTGCTTACCATTTTGAGTTGGTATGGGGGAGGAAGTCGGCCAGTAGCGATATATCTATAATACGCACCTTTTTTTTTATAATACCTACTAGTTTTTTTTTAAGTTGTTTTACTTTGTTTTCTATCCGATGCTCATGTTTATAATTAATAAGCTTAGTGGTACACTTAAAAAGATACAAACACGCATTTATGGTTCAACGTCGTTAATATGGGTACATAATATAATCAATAAAATTAGCACAGTCAACTTAAATGTAGAAGTGATTTATAGTTAAATTGAAATAAGTCATTGACATCAGGAGATGTGGAGAAATATATCCCATATAGTGATATGCAACCAGATATAAATTACATCTTCTACCTTAGAAATTTCTGTGTAAGTCGGCAATCCATTAACCTGGTATTGTGGTGTACTGGTACCTACTGTCAATCCGCCAAATCAAACCTGCACCTAAAATTATAGCTGCAGTGTCGTGTCAACTGAAAATTTGAAAGTTCTGTTCGTAAGAGACAAAAATTGATTTCATTCATCTATATGTATACATTCGTGAGTCATGACTATTATAGGGCCTGTCACGGTGAGTATATGGTACTTTGTATAATACTTGTATTTAGGTATAAAATTTATAATCCACATTATAACGTCGCTTAATCGACTGTTCCGAGCAGGTCTTGCATACGACTTACCCTACATATACAGTTATACGGTTTTCAGTAGGACAATTATTATTGTGAAGGACAAACAAATTCTTATAATATCATGTAACGTAGACCATAAGAGATCTTCCTGAGATGTTATACTAATACTAAGTATATAAATACCTAATATAGTGAATGTGGTTAACGGCGTCCGCGACGGTAGCTAATACAAATCACTCACCTAATTATTTTTTTTATATATGGTTGCATAATAATAGTTGTACGGATTTCAGACCTCTGTTAAATTATAAAGAGGCTGCTGGATCTCTGTTCGATCTGATGATTGTTTACAAGTTCCGGCTTTGAGTGGAGAACAAAAAAAGTTAGGGTCGTTAGAACATTTAGGCGTTATAGTTATATCAACATAACGACTCGCATGTGACCTCAGTTGCAGGTAATAACGTGATGAAATAAAATAATATAACGAATGACGCTGCCCGTAACGGTTATATTATCTTTTACTATTTTTTCAGTTCCCCAATATATATTACCTCTATATTTATCTTCATCAATGTTTTCATTTGTTGAAATTTGAGTATAACAATACCTTTTTTGTATTACCTCGCTTTATTCAGATTATCAAAACAATAAGGAGGAATAATCCAAAAGGAAAATAATATCTATATTAATATTTTCTCCATATTGGAGAATTTTTTTGTGATGGTAAATAGTTTATTCTATACAAGAAACGGTAAAGGTATAATTTTATAAAAATTAAGATCTCTGAAAATACCCGATGATGATAAATGCTGCATGCTCAATGTAAATCATTAAGTACCTACTAACATAATACCGGTACAGTGGTACGGTGGCATAGTATAGTTGTCGGCCATTCACGTATACCGAAAAAATAAATGTTCGTTTTCATAATAACGTTAAATATTGTACTTGCTTTATACTGTGATTTCACGACTAGATTACAACGCTGCAGCAATAGTATACATAAAAATTTTTACTGTACACCTACCATATACGCATATATATTATTAAACGTTCCATAGATCTCTATTGGTACCTATATATTATGTACCTGTACTTATATCATATACGTCCGTATCGACGAAATCTGTCGACTGGATGGTTAGGTATATAAGTAGGTAGTTAGGTATGCGTGCACTATATAATATTATAATGTAGGTAGGCTATAAAATATTATATTATATGTTTATCCAATATACGAAAACAATGGTCCCGTGCCATTTCTCGACGTACGCCGACGCACTCTCGTGCCTTTTATCCGTGTAGGTAGGCAGGTATATGATACGGTTTGTGTATATTATTATGTAATTATTACAAATGCGCGCGCGCTACGATTTTTTTCTCCTCAAAAACTGTTATTTCGGTAATCGCTCTATAAATGTACGTCTGACGTTTTGCCGGGACGTACCTACCTACCGACGACCACCCAGGTGTACGAGCCACCTACTTTTTTTCCGTTCTTTTGGGATTTTTTCTGTTTTGATAAACGTCAAAATTTTTACGAATATCGTCGCCGGACGTCTGTTTCCTAGGCGTAAAAAATGCCAATCTCCAAGCCCGTGTATATTCCATATTTTTTGGAGTGCATTCGTGGCGTTTAAACACCGCGACCCCAGCAAAGTGTACCAGCAGTATACACCAAGGGTCACCCGTGGTTAATATTTTTGCAGGGCCATTTTAGGAATTTGGGAAATTTTTGGGAACCATTTTAACTCTTTCGATTTTTTTTTAAAAAGTCAGCCATTATTTATGTCACCAGATATGGATGTGTAAGGTTTTAAGGTAATTTTGATCTATTGAAGATATGGTTTTAACGTATAGGTACGACGATAGTGTTTGAGTTTTGACATTTAAAAATTTTTTTTTTTTTTTCAGTTTTTCCAAAAAATTACTAAACCCGTGTAAAGAATTTTTTATGGATTCGGTTTGAATTTATACTTGGGTATAACCTCTATAGTCAGCTATACTATACAGCTATCACACAAATTCGTATTTCAATCTCAGGTCATTGGTACATAATATGAGACAGAAAGACAGGACATGTCTGTATATTATTTCGGTAATACCATATAGACATATAGTTGGTCGGGCTCAGACAGCCAAAGCGATAACTAGTGCACCGCCGTAGTTTCGTAATGCGTCGCGTATCGTACCTTATCTATCCATTTAATTATCGCAACGAGGCATTAAAAACGTGTAATGGCCACGGTTTCACCAATTGTTATTCTAAACAAAAATAAAATTCGCAAAAAGAAAACTATGGAAAATCCTACAAAGAGAGCTCTCTCGTCGACCTCCTCAAACTCCCCGACCTACGTGGATAAGAAAAACAAAGTTTTTGTAACACCAAATCGTTTCGAAGTTCTAGAAATGGAGGAACAAGACAATGTTTTCGTGCAAACAGAATCTCAGCTCGCCTCACAAAATATCAAGACCTCGCCAGAACCGAGTAAGTTAAAACTCCCAAATATCGTACTAACAAACGTTACCGATTTTATAACCCTCAAAAATGATTTAACTAGCATAGTGGGACCAATGGGTTTCACATGCAAAGCTAATAGATCTAATATTATCGTTCGGTCAAACACACGCGAAAACTGGATGGCCATTAAATCATATCTGGTTGAAGCCGATTACGATTACCATTCTTATCTCCCCCGCTCCTCACAACCTTTCCGAGTCGTGCTACGCCACCTTCACCACTCCACGCCTACCGCGGATATTATAAACTACCTTAGTGACCTAGGGCACAAAGTCAACAGTATCTCAAAAATAATACA